ACATCGGACTGCACGAAGGCTACAAGAAGACTCATTTGGATGTCGTCAAAGTCCAGCTGGTGCATTTCAATAAATGTTGAACGTGCCTTAGTTCCTGCATGCTAATCAATTTAATTAAAAGATATAGTGAATTAATTATTAATTATCAAATGTAATTCAGAACATTTTTTCTCGACAAAGCTGAGCTTACAGCTAGAAGCTAACGGCGCTAACTCCACAAACAGTGTGAGGGTGCTAACAGTGTTAGCGTGGCGTGGAAAAGGAGGCGTGGCTTACAGCGCGGAGCAGCAGCCAATAGCTAACCAGTTGGGAATCTTCAACAAACATGGGAAAAGATTGTAGATTACTCACTTTTATAAATGAGTGTTAATGAACATCAATATTTTTTGTTAAATTATGAATGGAAAGTACTTGTGATTTGTTTTTTGCTACTTGATATCATTGTTCAATAAAGAATTTTACCACATGCTACGTTTTTGCTGTCTGTTTTTTCTATTCAGAATCCCATTCTCTGTGATTAAAAAATAAAATCCAGAGTAAGACATTTTCAACGGCAGCTGTTTGCTGTGGAGACATGGCAACAGTCATTGGAAACAATACCAATTCAGATTGGATACCACCTCACTGAATATTCGGCGGTTGGTGGTATTCATACGACATTTAACTAGCGCAAAACATGCTTTTTCATCACATTTGTCATCACAGAAATTTTGTTGAAAAAATGTGATCATAATCTCTATTCAACAAATTAGGCACCACATCAAAGTAGCTATGAATAAACCTAAAGAATTGTTCCAACCTGCAGTAACTCCACCTCGCTTGTCATTTATAAATGTCTCCCCGTCATATAAAAACCTCATTGGAGGGAAAGTGCCTGAGACTACACCTCTAGTACTTTACTTTAATATTTCGCCATTTGCTAAACAAACACTGTGCTCCGTATGGAAAGAAAACATGAAACAAAAATGTGAGGTCATAGATTTGTAATTTTAACTGTAGGAAGAAGAACAAAGTCTTGTTAAGAGATATTTTAAACACCAAAGCTTTGTATTCTGTACCTGTTTGTGTTTGTCGTATCAGCTCACAACCTCTCACAGTATTGCATCAACACAAACTCCACTCTCGAATATAAAATAAAAATCATTTTTAGGTTCCCGCAAAAGCTGAAACTACAGCTCATACCAGACACACTAGGCTCCATTTGAACTCTGACCTTGTCAAACTATTACGAAGCCATTAGCAAGGTTTTTCTTCAATGTGCTGAAAGCAAAGCTGTCAAGTTAAACCGAAGGAGAAGCCAGTTTGCGTGATAACGGATCATTGTCGTTATGTGAGAGAAAACACAGCAACAGCTGCATGAAACGTTCAATAAATAGAGTAGACACACATTTTAACTCACGTAGGGTGTATTTTCAGACGGTATTCATAGTATATGGGGCCAAAACGGTCATACAAAGGGCGATATATGGGTTTAGACAAACAGAAAAGAATTCAGACAAACCTGGTGAGACTGAGGCTATTTTTTAACACGACAAAGAAAAGCAATCTTGAGAGAAAAATAAAATACAAAATACAGTCTGCGGCAATTTTGAGGCTTTAATTGGTTCCGGAGTTTGCTTCAGCTAATGACTGTGCTCTCTGACCTGAGTAGAACTGTACGCGATACGCTTTTGTCTTCTTAACTCTGCCGGCTTCGGGACCTTTGTGTGTTTCACGTGTTTATTTTAATGCTGACACCTTAGAATTAAAGCTGAGATTCTTAGTCGAGCTCAAAGTTCACATTAAAACAGAAAAGCGTGATGTGAAAGCAGAGTGTGGGCACAACTGCTAGGAGCTATATTTATTCCCATGAAAAATACATCTACTTACAACCTTCCTGTTGGCTCAGTTTTTACTGAAGCTGGACGAGTGTGTCAAAAAAAAAACAGCTTCAAGGATTTGTTATGTTGGTCGAGGATAAAACTGCCTCAACAGATAAAATATGTGAAAGATTCTCCCCGCAAACATATTTTTGAAAGGGATAGCATTTTGTATTTGGACCAGAAGGTACGGAGCGTAAAGCCGTGAGAAGAGAATGTGAGTGGGTCGTCTGCTGCTTGCATGCTTTTACTCACTTTGGCTGTAATACCAACATCTAAACACACATTCACAGAAATGTGTTCACTCCACATGACCAATAAAGAATGAATGCATTACGGAGACCCAGCGTGTGTGCACACGCGTGTCTGTTCACACATGTGGGGAAACGGACCCTACAGCCACGATGCCCTCGTCTCTCACTGAGACGACTAATTGGCCTCTTGTGGAGAAGCTGCATCTCACCTGGAGCCTCGGGCTACGAGTCACATGACGGATCAATCTGTAGATCTGGTCTAAATCATCGCGCTGCTTCTGCGGTCTGACACATTGCTGCTGCCATCACAGTCGGCCACCCGAGCCGTTGGGATTTCTGCCATAATTGGCCCCTTCGCTTCGATTCGAGCTCAGAACTCAGGCTCGCAGTTCATCGCCTCTTCAGATGTGGTCATTTGATCTTCTGTAATATAAAAGTTCTGATTTAAGCAGCTTTAAGGCTTGGAGTTAAAAACCAGTCCCAGACGCGGAAATAAAGTGAGGGAGCCTGTTCAAACATTAAAATGTGTGCTGGGTGATGAGATGGCAAATGAATATGCAGGTTGGACTGAACCCCGCCCGCGGAGATTCTGTCATTTTTCCATTTTTTTAGCTTCATCCAATAGTCAAATACAGACTATGACACTCTTCTCAAGCTGCGTGACCAAAGATTAAAAAAAGAGCGCAACCACGAAGCGATATCTAATCAGAGCTTGACCAAAAAAACACAAGTTTTAATACAAATGCGTCTGTTTCGGAACTATCTACCGACAGTCAGGAATGTGAACACAAGATACCATCTGCAGAGGTCCCAGATAGAAGACAAGGAAATGACAATTATAATAAACAGTGAATCTGATGAATCTGTTTCTTCTCAAGTACAGTTACACGTGAGACAAAAGCACCCGACTCTCAGCGATAACACCGGACGACGCTGATGTGATGATGTCATTCGTTTTAATCTCATCCGCAGCCTCCTCACATGTCTGCTTTGGTCTTTCTGTCTGTCTGTGTGTATTTAATGTGTCTTGGTTTGTATGACTCACAAAGTCCTTCTTTCTTCAGTGTGTAGAACTGACTCGTCTCTCTGCTGAAGAAGATGGTGCTGCAGGGTCACATGGGTGCGTGAAGGGCGCCAAGGCGGTCGCGCTCTTTAAAATTGGTTTCTTATCTTTTTTTCATTAAGTTAATTCCACTAATATACTTGTCATAAAGTTCAAATTTATTCTGCTCTTACCATAAAAGAAATTGTTCAACACTTTGAGGAAATGATTCGCTCTCTGGCCAAAACTAATACGCGAAGATAGATGCACTGTCATGTCTGTGCGTTGAGATGCATTAAAGGAATAAAAACATTGTGTGTCTGACCCATTCCCGCATTTCTGAAACAACCCGGCAGAAATGAGTATGGCTTTTTCTTAAATAAATATACATATATTGATTTCTACCGTATGAATCCCAAAATAAATCCCTGCTTTCACTTCATTAACGTTTCACCCAAAGTGACTTTCTCCACACTGCGATGATGTCACACATCTGTCCCACTGGCATTGAATGAAAGGCGAGGTGACATTTTTCAGGCTGGGATGAAAAGTCATTGATGTTTTTGTATTTTATTTTTTTTGGACAACATTACACCAGAATTCCGGCTGACATATTTGGTATTTTTGGAAAACATGGAAATTTGAGTTGTGCTGAAAATAAAGTTCTGTTGGGGTTTAAAGTTTGTCTGCGCAGTTAGTTATAAATAATGAAACCACTCCGAGCCTCCAGAAGGAGATGAAGGATGAAGGACTCCCCCCTGAGGCCAGCCAATCACCTCTTCATTCCATTACAGGTACGCTCAGTGGGAAGCAACATGAGACATGATGATAACAGACGGGGGAATCAAATAATCCTTTTGCATGAAAAATAATAATAGTTTTTTTATATTTTTGAGTATCGAGCAAAGACAGTCCCCCGTTCATGAAACTGCTTTCGACATTGTAATCTATTAGACAGCACCATCTGGTGATTCCTCCACTGAAGAATGAGTTACGCTGCGTGTCCACTGCAGCAGGTCAGCGGCTCTCAGACCTGCTGCTGCGTTTGATTATGAAAGTAGGGTGAGAACTTCTTAACACTCACAGCTTTTAGGTCATTGCTGAGGAACGAGGAGGCATTAATTAGTGTTGTATCTTGCAGGTAAATCAAATTAAGACTTCCTTTAAAATTACAAATAAAACACAAGGGGCAGCTGTTGGGTGTTGGATTTGCAAGTCTACCCTGAAAATGTGTTGGGACATTGTTAATATGTCTTTTTTGTGTATTTGCTGTGGGCTGCGGGCTGAGCCACAGAGTGAGTAATGAGTTAGTCATCCTTGTTATACACAAAAAGTACACATTTTTCTTTGCTGTTTACTTGTTTCTTTTCTCTCACTTGGAATACAATTCACACATTTAAACAATATCCTGTTTCTTTGAAGCAATTTCTGGATCCTCACACATTGGATCTCCTCCTCATGGCAGTGTGGAACAATTATAGTGGCATATTTGTGTGTGTGATAGTCTATATTTCTTAACCAAATAGTCGTTCTGAAAACTTTTAGATTGTTTAATAATCGGTTATTTTTGTTGTCTTGAAGGGCTTTTGAATTGAGAACAGATATCATTTACAGGTTGCTTTACGGATTCAGCCTGCAAGCACTTGTTGGAGGTATTTCTTTCTGAATACATTGAGTACAGAATAATATGTTGATGAAACTTCAGGCAACAGCAAGTCAAATATATTTCAAATATTGATAAAATGCCAAAACACTACAGTTTGATTGAATTCAGCTTCTTCACTTCGCTGTGCTGCCTTTGGGACTGGTGGACGGACAGTACATTTTAAACATGCAACCGGAAGATCTGAGAAGTGATTGGCCTTTATTGTTCTAGTCACTAAATGCATAACTTCAAAATAATGAACCAAATATGAAGTAATGACATCCAATATAAATGACTCAATAACTGTATTGTGACGATAGAAGTAAATGAGAAATGCCGCCTCAGTCAGTTTAGTAGAAATTAGCAGAAAAAAACTCCCAATGTTACCAAACGTGAAATACAAGTTGCAATGAAATGTATGAGAGTAGTATATGTTAGTGTGTGTGTGTGTGTGTGTGTATCCAGTGTGTTATCTGTGATTTGTGTAATCATATGACGAAGTGTACCACTTAAATTGTACGTATAATGGCTCTTATCTATAGCAAGTTGTAAATTGGCTTATTTGATGAAATTGCACTTTCTTGTTTTGTGTTCCTCTGGGTTTGTATCCTTATAGTTGAATGCACTTATTGTAAGTCGCTTTGGATAAAAGCCTCAGCTAAATGACATGTAATGTAATGTGACTGGAAAGGGGCTTTTTGCACACAATTATTCTTTGATTGTACAATGTCAGGCCTCGGTTAAATATATAACCATAATTAATTTTCAAATTCTACTGAATGCCAGTTAATGAATTGTCTCGAGTGAATTAATATACATATTTCTTTCGAGTGTGGGGGGGTCGCAGGATGCCTTTGAGAGTGAACTTGTGGCCACTGGGGTGCTGATGTGGTTCTACATTGGAGAGTGCATCAGCAATGAAGGGATAATCGCATACGACGTCTAAATGTTGTACTGTTCTTTCTCTTTTTGCACTTCTAATTTTCTCAACAACTTGCACCAGTTACAAATAAACAATTCCCGTAGCCATAGAGGTTTCCTTAAATATTCATTTACAAATTGAGCAAATTAATAAGGCTATATTTCCTTCACAAACAACATACCAAACATGAGGAATCAAGAACCAACACACACAGTAAACGGTAGGTAAAGTTTTAGCCAAAGTGTTTGAGAGATTATTGGTGCAGAAAAAAAGCATCCTGGTTAAGCTGCATATTTTACAGACATTGCTGCTATGTAATGATGGACATCTCCTCTCGCTCACGACTTTCCGACATTGCTTTGACAATATTTCCCAAGTATCTGGAGAAAGTTTTCCTCACATCTTCTGATTTTTCCTCCAGGTTTGAATGAACAAGCTCCAGTTGTCGCAAATGTAAGGCTGTGTCAAAAGAACAAACATGTTAGGCAAGAAAGAGCAATAATTACTTAAAGTAACAGCTTTGTGAGGCCTGCAGTGTAAATACCTATAGGCAGCGGTCCATCTTCCACGGTGCTGCCGGGCTTGTGGTGAGCTATGAGCAAACACTGTTTGTCCTGCAGATCCCGAGAGGAGATGAACATCGAATACCACGTCTCTATTTCGTTGAGGTGACTGGGAACATCAGGGTCGAAAATGATTACCACGCCGCTGGAGTCCTCCATCATTGCAGGCCAGCATGATTCAAATCTGTATGAAGAGAAAATATTGTACATGTACATTTCTTATACACAGGAAGAAAAAACAATCATTAGTAATGGGACTTAATAAGCATCCCAGGAGTGCACGCAATGACATCTAAGACTTTGTTCATTGGAAATGTTTAATGTTTAACTTACTTAAAATCTCCTGAACAGTCCCAAAGTTCAACCTCACATTTTGTGTTGTCACCACCTGCCACTGCAGGTTGTGTTTCGAATTCCAGTATCCTTAAAAAAAAGTAGAAAACAGTGATTTGTTTTTTGTAACTGCCGGCAGTAATACGAATAAAGTTAAAAATGATGCCGCAAACTCCGTTAAATTGTATTATTTCTAGCTCGTCAATGATTTTGTGTGTGTTTGTACCTCACTCCTTGCGTTGGTCTGTATTCACCTTCCACATTTTCTACTGTGTTGGAGAGAAAATTAGCAAGAACTGTTTTCCCACTCTGAAAAATACGTCAGATAAGTTACAATCAGAACATGAATATATACTTTTCACACACAAGTTCATTTGACGGAAAACTGGAACTTTTCACAGCACAGATTTTGACTTTGTACAGCAGGAACATCATTAACAACAACTGATGCCGTATGTTTCAGGTATTATGCTGTCATTGGCATAAAGACATAATGAAACCACAAAAGGGGGAAACAAGTGTTTCATTGCTGATGCAATTACCGTAGTTGTAATTAGTTGTCCTGTAAGTAAATAAACGTGTGATAGTTTTACTGAAGTTGTATCGTACTGCGGAACATTTTATAGCCAGCAGCAAAGTATGGGAGTAATATTACCCAAATGTACTTCAAGTAAATGTAATTATATAGCAGGGAGAACACATCTTTCAGCATAATTGTTCATTTAACGTTAGAACACCACGTGGAGGTAACGTTAGTATAGTTATCGTATACACGGGGTGGAGTGAATGCAACGCTAGTTAAAAGTCAGCATAACAGGGAAATACTTTACCGAGTTGTGTTATTTACCAGTAGAAACAAAATATAATTCATTCCACCACTGCACGCTTCTCATTTAACATAACGTTAAACAAACACACACATGCGGTTGAAGTTTTATGGTTAAAGTTTTCACTGGTGATTAGGTTTTTGAAGATCATCACATATTCACAGATCGATTTATGCAGCACTTTAAAACTAGAATTACCTATTTGTACCTATCCACACTTGACAGTAAAACTATGCTGATGTTGCGCCACTATGTACTATTTACGTACCTCGTTGGGGCCAATAAAGAGTATTTTTGCTTTGAACATGTCCACTCCCAAAGTATTAGCGTTAGCTTTCTAAGCTAACTTCGACAGAAGAAGCACTGGCAAAGCTAAACTACGCAACCAATACACGTTTTTGAAAAAGACAGTCAGTTCTTATCTGAGTAGATATATGAAGAATGCTACGGTGAGTTGTAAGTTCCACGCGACGTAATGTACAAATTGTAAATTATGAATTTATTCCGGAGTTGGATTGAGCTATCACGGCACTAAACTTCCTCTTCGTTTCCATGGTTTCCATATTTCTTTGGCTTTATTGTTTTCATTGGCTACGCGCAACTTTAAACAAACGTAGTTCCGCCTAGTTTCTCCATGGGGAGCCAATCAGCAGTAAGAAAATAAGCTAGCGTCACTCCATTGCGTCAGAGTCAACCAATCAGGTTTGATCTAGTGAGAGGGCGGGCTCTTCAGCATGTAGTAGCGTAGCTCTCAACCGACACAAGGCTAAAGCGTAAGTAAAGCCAACAATTTTAGTGGTATTTAGTCAAATATTTCTATGTTATAGTTGTAATAGACATTATAGCAGATGGCATTGACTTTGTTTGCTAGAATTAACATAATATTTGCAATACGACGTTTAGCTTAACGGCCACCTAGCTTGGACTGACCGTTGCTATGGAGGAGGCTTAGTTGGCTTGCTTGACAACCTACTCTCACTGTCCTTTTTAATAAAGTGCATGTTACACTATGCAGTGTAGCAAAGCCCAACCTGCTTTAAAAAAGGTCCCGCTCGTGTGAACTCCCTGTCCTTCTCTGAATGCTAACCCTAATTTACACGGTATGTTGTTTTATCAGCAGCCATAGGCATGTCTCCAGAGGATGGACTCCACAGTTCCCCCCTCGGGTTCAGCTCCATCGGGGAGGACGTCCCTCTGAGCTGTGGGGATCATCTAGAGAGCTTTCATGAGCTCGGGAGAGGGAGCAAAGCACGCAGCAGTCTCTACACAAAAAACCCAGAGGCAGACATCAACTGGTGAGGTCCTTTAAATGCATTTGAACGCGATGGGCTGACCATTCCACAGCGTAACACCTTGTCTTCCTGTTTTTCATCTAGTCATGGAGGCGTTGCCGATGGAAAAAACCCTTTCCTGAAAACACTAATTGATGCAGAGGCGGCTGCGAACTCCGCTGCCATACAACTAGTGTCTTTTAAGGATGCCATGGAAGACACATTTGCTGTATGTTATTTTTCATTTTGAATATGCTAAGTTGGATTCAAAGCATGGGCCCTCCAAGATACTATTCACCATCCATTGTTCCCACTGGTTTGTCTCTCACAATTAAGGATTCAAGACAGTCGGCCATTGATAAGCGCAGAATTGCAAGGCAGAGAGGACTTCTGCTGGAGAAGTTGGAGGATTTTAAGCGTATAAATAAGTCAGTTCGACAGAAACTGAAGCAGGTCCAAGATGCAGAGGTTGGTTAAATACATCATACATACATGGATCTATATTAGTAGTAGTACAGCAATTACTTTAAGGATTCTGGCGCACAAAGCAGTCTGACCTAAACATTTGTTTGGATAACTTGTGTTTTTCCTTATAGTCTGATCGAATTGAATCCAACCACCAAACAGAAATCCTGTTGAAGAGGATCTCACAGGCTGAGAGTGACAATGAGGTGTGCTTTCTCTTTTGCATTTATCTAGTGCCTTCAAAGAAAATATTTTAATTCAAGTGATATCGATAAGAATATGTGCTTAACTTGTGGCAACTTGGTTGAAAATGAGTGTGAATCTTAGGAGCTGTATACTGATTTCAATGGTTGGAATGGATCAATAAGGAGCTGGTCGAAATTGATCCAGGCTGGGTTCTCCAACAACGTAGCCCCATTAGGCTCTGGATCAATGTATCAACCGAAACGCATAAAGCTGCCCTATTGGAAAAACAACAATTCGATTCCACAAGACCTCTAAAATATTGCAGATTCCCATCTGAAATCCTGTACTGATTTACGTACTATTTCTCCTGCAGCAATTAAAAAGAGACTTGAGTGAGAAAGATCAAAAAATCAAAGAGCTGTTGGATCTGCAGAGAGAAGAGCAGGTAAACAGAGCAACGGTTCCCATGTTTACAATGCAGACTGTAAAGCTCCAAAGGATACATTTGCAATGATCTGTCCATAATGGAATTTATAGGAGAACATGAAGAGTGCACTTCAAATGACCAAGTCTGTGGAGGCGACTCGTGCTCACCTGCAGAGCCAGCTGCGCATCAAAGAAGCCCAAAACAACCGGCTGAATGTGCAGCTACGGGTACAGACGTTTACTGCTCTCTTGGCAAACTGCTTTAAAGAAAATGTGCATTGGGTTAGCATATCCTTACTGGCTTTCTTTTCCCAGGCTGTGGAGAAAACCCTGACCGGGCAAAAGATGGAGATCGATGACCTAAAAGGATCCGTTGCCTCTTTGACGGAGAAGGCGGCGCAGGACAAAGAATCTTTGAAAAAAGCCACTCGGGCTCAGAAACTGAGAGCTCAGAGATTTGAAGCCGCTATTGAGAAATGCTATGTGCAGCTGAAGGAAAAGGTAACGGCCAAAGTCACAAGAGCTGTGATTTGATGATTTTAGAAAGGTTTCCTCTCAGCGCAGAGGTGCATCTCTCCGGATCTTGTTTAAACCTTTCACATTTTCTTGGTTGCCGTCAGGATGCTCAGCTGACCGAGGCCCGTTTAGAAAGAGACTCCCGGAGACAACGGAAAGAGCAAGAGAGAGAAGAGAAAGAGAAACTTGTGGTTCACATAGAGCTGTTGAACAGGTTGGTCACACACCAGGAATCAGTACACACGCCGACCACTTTTCCACCATTAATCTCTAAATGTGTGTTTTTCGATGAAGTCAAATGGCCGACTTGGCGGAGAGGCTGCGGAAGGAGAAGGACGAGCTCAGTGCAGCTCATGAACTTGTGACGCAACGTGTTGAAAAGCTCATCGCCGAAAATGGAGATCTCAACGTCAATAATGCGACACTCAAGGTACGCGTTGGCAAACGGCTCGCACGTGGGAATCATTTCTATAAGAGTGAAACATCGATATGTTGTCCTTGATTGTATTGATTAACTGACAAGCAGCTGAGCAATAAACTAATCGTTATGTAGAATTTGTTGTTTCTGTCCGGCGCCGGTTTGTTTGATGCATGTCACTCATGTTGTCTGAACATATCTATTTCTTTATTTCCACTAGTAAAATCCTGTTGATGTTCATTTGATTGCAGGCCTCCGTTGCTCAGCTGGAGCAGCAACTGGCAGATTGTGAGTCTGCGCTGTCGGAAGTGAAGGTTGTGTCCGAGGAGAGGAAACATCAAGTGGGACAGGAACAGCTCCAGGTTGAAATCAGCACAAACAGCGTTAAACTGTTGTCTTTGATTCATTTCATAATTTGAACCAGGAAGATCTGCAGACTGCATTTCAATAACCTATAATAAAAAAATATGATTCACTCTCTTGTCAGAAAGGACATTTTTACAGAAATCAAACAATTCATTTTTCTGCTAGAAATAGATAGATAGATACTTTATTGATCCCTCAAGAGGGATATTATGTGTATATGTGTCTGTTTTATGAACATATTATAAACACAGGCAAGCATTGGACATCAAGACAAAAAACACAAAGATACAAATAAGATTGAAGATGTATTCATGCTTTGTGCTTGTCCACTTCTGTTCTGTTACAAAAGAGGATACTCATACTGAGATTATCACTGCACGTGTTCTTTTGTAATTTGGCTAGTTTGCTGTTCTCAATTGTAGGAAAGCACGCGGCAGGTTTGATTGTTCTGTCCTTTTTACCGTTTCCAGGCTGCAGAGCTTCAAGCCGAGTTAAATAACCTGAAGATGAAATATGCAAATGTCCTCAACGAGACGGAGGAGACGCGAGATGGAAAAGGCACAAAAGTTGCGAAGGTAACATTCCAGCTCGCCATGAACGTTTCGTCTTTTATTTTGGCAAAGATGTAAACATTTAATGTACAAAATCATTTGATAATATGTATGTATGTGATATTGAAATTGAAGACAACATTCTCCCTTTTTTGTTCCCTTTTATAACAAATCCTAACAGAACTGTTGTCCTTCTAGCATATTGATCTCTGCAGCTGTTTCTCCTGCTGCTGAATTTATAAGCTCTTAGATCTTTTCTGTGGCTGTGTAACTTTATGGACCGTCTAACCTCCAAACCCTCTGCAGCAATCCTGAGCAATAAAACCCTTCAACTCACCCGCTTAGTCTGAAGATGAACCCTTGTGCACGCTCAAAGCTCTAAAGCACATCTGTGAGCATGTCTTTGAGGGGCGGGGGCAACTCTCCAGGCTAATATCTTGTCTGTCCCCCGACACCCCGTCCTCCGGGGGCCCAGGCGAGGCAGGAGCTGCAGGGGCGCCTGGACCAGCTGGAGTCTTTCCCCGAGTTACTGAGCGCGGCCGAGCAGAGTCTCCTCGAGTGCCGGGACAACCTGCGACGCTCGGAGAGGAAGTGCTCAGAAAAGTCCGTTAGGCAAATGCAGGATAAGGTGTGCAACTTTAGCTGCGGCGGTCAGAATGTAAAAGGTTTCCATACATGTGACCACTAGGCGGTAGTACAACCCCGCGTGTCTGTCCGATCCGTACCTACGTGCGTATTTGTGAGTGATGTTGTGCCGTGAGAGTCCTTTTCTTAATCCCCCGCATGTTCTATCAGCAATGATGAACTGGCTCCTGCAAAACTACGCATTTAGTGTTTGCAAGTTTGTTTTATTCAACGCAGTTTTGCATGTGATGGTGAAACCCGTCTCTCTACGCTGCGCTCGCTGAACTTGACATTTTGCACAACGCAGATGGAGACGGAGACCAACACGCTGAGATCATCTGTGGAGATGAGAGAGTCCATTCGTGACGCCAATTTACAGCTGAACGAGAAAGAGGCGTCTCTGCAAAAGTAAGACATGGCCTCGTGTTTCTGTTGGGTCGTTAAATGTTTTCGCGTCTTCTTCACACTGATTTGATGGCATCTATATGCTATGATGTGCTTCTAGGAAGGTGGACGCGCTGCAGCAGGAGAACCTGGAGCTGGTTCGGAGGCTCGCCTCTCAGGAGGAAAGTCTGAGCTACAGTAACCTGCAGCTGGATCAGCGTTCGTCGGAGGGCCAGGCCCTCAGCAGGCAGCTGGAGGCCGCTTTAGCCGACGTCAAGCAGCAGGTACATCTCACCGGGGACGGAGAGATCAGCAAAAAGATCTGCAGCATCAACAAAAGAGGCAACCGTTTACAGATACACATCTGGCCCCAGGGAATCATAATAGTAATTGTTTTTTCCCATATATGCAGATCAAGAAGGTCAAAGACCAGGCCACCTCCAGAGAAGAGGCCCTGCAGACCAAAATCCTGAAGCTGGAAGCTGAGAAGAGCAGAAGGGATGACGAGCTGCGGCTTCTTTGCAGGAGCAAGCTCACCGTGAGTGCCGCGCTCGACTTAAATGACATAAAGCAACCGGCTGTCATGGAGATGTGTTGATCTCGAGCAAATAACTGCCCGTGTGTTTGTTAATCTGCAGGCACAGAAACAGTTTGAGGTGCGTCTGAAGGATCTGCAGCTCAGCCTGGACCAATCAGAGAGCCACAAGCAAAGCATCCAGAACTACGTTGATTTCCTCAAAAACTCCTATAAGACCATGTTTGATGAAGGACTGCAAACAGCAGGTTTCGGATCATCGTATTTTCTAAAATAACTAAGGATCTGTTTGCAATTCAACATTTGTATTTATTTATTTTGTGTATGAAATATTTATGAAGTGTATTTGAGAATGAGATTGGAGGTAAGCATTTTTATATCTACTTCTAAAGAACAATTTCGAGCCCTTTGCCCCAGATGTCAGTCAAATTCTACTGTTCATGAAAGATATTTCCTGATGTTCTCATGTGGGTGCTACTCTTGTCATGTGAACTATTGGTGCTGCTTTGTCTACATTAAGACTCATCAAGCTTCAGCTTTATCTCAGGCTGTGGAATAAAAAAAAAGTCTGGGACCAGCTACACACGTTTGAGAATCTCTCAATATAAATCCAATACTTTTGGAGCTTTAGATTGTTTGTTGTGCAAAACAAGCTGGTCACATTAAGCCCTGATTAACTGTAACCAGTGTTTTGTCTCTTTTTTTCTGATCATCTCTTAGACTAAAATTAATAAACGGTCAAAATTATTTTGTAAACTTATCTTTTCTCTCAAGTTACTAGATTTTCCCTGATGTATCAGTCTTGTCAACATTGAACGAGTGTAAGACTAAGATCTTTCTGCAACTGGGTCCAGATCAGACTGGTTCTTTGTGTGCACATTTTAAAGCTGTACTTTCCCCTTAATATCGCAGCAATGTTTACCAAAGTGGTGCTTAAAAAACAAATGTTATGCGGGTGCATATGTGCCCCGCCAGCAGTCTACCTGCGGTATAATAAACCATTGTTTCCAAGGTGAACTGTGCTCTCACTTTGTTCCCATTCAAATCATCACAATTCCTCTCCCGTGTTAATGTTCTGACTCGCAGCTGGACTGGAATGAATGATGCAAAACAATCCATTAGTTGTGGAGCTCACGCTCCGGGCTGCAAACATAACCAGAGCGTTTGCAAACGGCTTTAAACTCTAAACTTGTGCTGCTTTGCTCTCATGCGTTTGTAATGGTTGTGTATATGAACCTCTCTGCTCCTCATACTGTATCTTTGATAATAAACCTGTGGGGTTTTTTTGGCGTGGTCGTATTCCCCCGAGCGAGCAGTTGTCGTCTAAAGTTCTCACAGACAAAGCTCTATTGTTGTGTTCTCCGTCAGGGGATGGAACCATTTCATGGCTGCATGCCTCAGAAATCCTGTTTTCTTTTGCTTTTGTTTTTGCCCGTTTACGTAATTATATTGGTCACGTTTTCGGAATTTACTCTTTTCTCCAGTTAGTTGGAAAATTAGTTAACGTGTGGCTTCTGTGTTACAGTTCAGCACCATGATGGACACACATATGAAGGTATGAGCTTATGTGCTCGGCAGACTCAAATGAGTTGGATTTGTTATTTTATTAAAAAAGAAGAATTAATTTCCAGACTTCTGGACCAATTTCTTTGACACAAACAAAAGATAGTATTTACAGTATAGATGTTTTCTGACCGTCACAGCTGTCTAACTAGTGGATGACCTTTAATGGATGAAGAATAAACTTCATCCATGAATATTTGCATTACCACAAATTTACACCACAGATTAGATTTGGCAACACAACATTTTTTTAAATGTAGCATACTTAAAGAGAAACGTATGAAGGGAAAGGATTGACATCAAAATTGTCTTTGTATTTATTTAAAACATAAAATATACAGTTCTGCAGTTGATTGGTCAAATTTAAAGTATTTCTAGTTGTATTCATTTTACATTGGCGAGTGATTTGAGAGGATGTCATTGTACAATATAATGTGGCTATAACAATATAAGAGTTATTTATTTGAATAAATAACATTTAATACATTAAATCAAGAGAAACATGACATCAAATGTGTAATGACTGATTTAGCGGTATATTTTGTATGCAATTTCCACGTTGTTGTGGTCAATTGTCTCCTAAAGGGAAACTGGGTGTTAACAGTGCAAACAATACACAATACAAAATAAAAGTATAGAACACATTTTCTTACAATTGAAAAATAAGAATCTTCACAACGTAGCTTAAAAATGAAGCAAACCAAGAGGCTCCAATGTGACGAAGCAAAATCATGAATGAACAACACATTCTGGGAATCCACCCTGCAAATTCATGCAACCACAAAGTGCACTTTTACTGAGTTTACGTATTCTGCTCAAAACTTTACATGTCCGCTTTGTTGTTGTCATTATAAAGTCCGTAGCCGGAGCAGTTTCGATGACATCTGCATGACTGAATCACCATCACCATCCTTGTGAGGACCTCCCCGCGCTTGCATCGGAAGCGGACGGGCAACGTCTGCGTGCGGTGAGGCTCACAGCATCGGCCATCTGAGCCGGACCCACAATACCTCAGCCGGAACTTGATCAGGCTACGGCAGCCTGCGTGGGACAGTTTCGCCGGACGGCTTGCCTCCTCCGGCTGGTCACATTGCGGACCTTTCTGTTGGAAGGAAAACAGCAAAGGCACGTGCAAAAATATGAATTTCGCTTAAGCTCTCCCAAGACCGCAGAGCATCATGAAATAAAAGTGCAATATACCTTCAATTTGGAGTCGTTCTTTTTGCACGGGCGGACTTCGCAGATCCGAGTCTCTTTCACCAGTTGGCACTGGCTGTTTCTGTTGGACGTCCTGGTGGAAACTCCAGTGCCGCAGGATTTGGAGCAGGGGGACCAAGCCGTGGTCTGAGACACACACTTGACCCCTCCGATGAAATTATTGGATTCACCCCTCCCCGCGGGGGCCAACTCATTCCTGTTGGCGAGGTCGTCTCCAGACAGTTTGTCTCTGCCCGCCGTTTTTCTGTGTTTCGTCTTGGCGGAGCACTTTGTCTTTGCGAGTTGTTCACAGCACCGGCCCCGTACCTTGACCCGCTCGGGCTCGGCACAGCCCAGTTTGGGCAGCCGGAGCTGATGCGGGCAGAGGGAGACACATCCAACAGCACCGTCCATGCAAGTGCACTGGTGTTTGCAGTTTGGACGGAAGATTTCCCCGTTCTGGTGAATGCCGTTGCTGTACTCGCACGTTCTTCCGTCTGCCTTGGCTGTTTTAGAGAAACAGAGGAGCTTGCGAGGTTTGGAATGTGACGAGTAAACAGACAAAGTGAGTGAACAACATGATAGACGTGAGGGGAAGACAACAACTCACCTCGACAGATGCCCTGAGCGGAGCCGGATCTACCTCCGAAGTTGCACTCCAGGCCCTTTGTGCGATCACACGGCAGTGTCTTGTTGCAGTCTTCAAAGAGCTGCCGCGGGCAAACTCTGCAGCATCCGCAGCCATCCAGCGTGAAACGGACTCCTGCTGCACACCTCGGGGTGCCGGGGGGACACCGGCAGTCCTTCGGGCACCAGGCTGACACCTGAGATAAAAACAGATTCTAGTTCAAATGTTTGCCTCCAAAAAGGGTCTTCCTAGAACATCTGGAGAAGGAGCCTCACCAGTGAAATGCAGAGCGTCGCGATGAAAAATGGTTTCCACATCTTCAGAAGTTGAAGCTATATCTCTGCAGAGGAAAAATGAAAGTGAATCTCTGTCGTACAGCAGACCTGGCAGTGAGTTAACGGGGGGGGGCTTGTTCGCTTGTCCTCTTTTGGAGTCACAACTCTCCCTTTATACACCGAGCAGACCTGACGTGTAGAGGATTCCCGATACTATGGGAGGAATGCTTCCAGCAGTGAGAACGCCTCCGCTCATCTCGTCACTCAGTGAGACAAGAACCACCCAGACTGACTACCATCACTAAAGATCTTTCTAGTCAATGTGACCCTATAATTACATTTTTTTTTGTATCTGTTCTGTAATCATGAAGCAGTTTTTATATCATGAAGTAAACCAGCTCTTAAAAATAATTATTTCTATGGAATAAAACATTTCAAAGTGGCTTTGTGTCTCGAAATTGACTTTCCATAAAAGTCAATTCTATAAGAGCAATGCAGTCAAATATGCACATATTTAAATTCAATGCTTATTAATTGGGTATTTTATGTGATCTTGTTGTTTATGAACATTTTATTATTCTGTTTAAGTTGTTTGTATAATATTTATTGTTGCAACAATGTTTCCATGCTACCTTCTTGATCACATCTCTCTTAATTTCAATGAGACTTTAGCTGAATACATAAAGGAAAAATACAGAAAGTGTATTGGTTAAGGCCCCCCAAAAAAGTGTGATACCTGAGCTACCACCTCATGCTCAAGGGGGCAGGCCGACACAGATTCAACATCAGGCCACCACAGGTTCTGACATAAATATTGAAGAAAGCTAAATATTTCTATGAACAACTGAATTTCCATCATGGTCGAAGCTGTGTTTAGACAGCTGCACTATGTCTGTGATGTTTGTATTCGCCGATAATGTATGTCACTCACCTTTAGGGGCACGGATGGATGAGATCTTGTTTTGATTTGAACATTTTCAAAAAAGTAGACTAGAGCCTCATGGAATGTTTGAACCGTAGGAGTCCTTTGTGCGTGCTGAATGAGAAACACACCAACAGAGAGAAGAAAGGAAGAACAGAACTCATGAAATGCCTGAAGCAACATTCCAGGCGGGAATAATATTGAAGGTTTCTTTGAGGTTTCTGCCAGGATAAAAAGCATCCTCTTCTATCCACATCAAATACCAATAAGAGTTATCAGGGAAAAATGCCCCTCCTTTCATTATAACCTGTGAGAACAAGAGGCACAGAACAGCAGACTGGCACCGAATCCCCTCTTATCTAAGTGAGGTTACGAGGGACAGATTGAATCAGCGCCAGCTCGGGCAAATGAAGGGCCAACCAGCGTGAGCTCGGCGCATTCGCAGATGCCTGGATATTGCTGACTGTAAGTGAAATACTACATTCCATCTCCCTAATACCTCATCTACAAGTAAATCGCTGTCAGAATATGTCACTAATTGGATGGATGGTTATGGGGAAAAAAACATCTGGAAATTATTTTCTGGTGATAGGTGACATGTTGGCTAGCGGTGTCATGTTATCCGACAGGGCCCATGTTAGCTAGCAGGGGACAGGTGACATCTTATCTAGCAGGTGATAGGTGACATGTTAGCTAGGGGTGACATTTTAGCTAGCGGGGGTCATGTTATCTAGGAGGTGACATGTTAGCTAACAGGTTATAGGTTAGCTTGCAGAGGACAGGTGACATCTTAGCTAGCAGGTGCCATGTTAGCTAGCGGTGACATTTTAGCTGGCGGGGGTCATGTTATCTAGGAGGTGAAATGTTAGCTAGCAGGCTATAGGTTAGCTAGCAGGGGACAGGTGACATCTTATCTAGCAGGTGATAGGTGACATTTTAGCTGGCGGGGGTCATGTTATCTAGGAGGTGACATGTTTGCTAACATGTTATAGGTTTGCTTGCAGAGGACAGGTGACATTTTATCTAGCGGGGGTCATGTTATTTAGGAGGTGACATGTTAGCTAACATGTTATAGGTTAGCTTGCAGAGGACAGGTGACATTTTAGCTAGCAGGTGATAGGTGACATGTTAGCTCGCAAGGGTCATGTTATCTAGAAGGTGACATGTTAGCTATCAGGGCTCATGTCAGCTAGTAGGGGTCGTGTTAGCCAGCAGGTGACATGTTAACTAGCGGGGCTCATGTTAGCTAGCGGGGGTCATCCAGTTAATTACCTCATCCTTAGTGTAGGATAGTAGAAACAAATTGACGACCCGGTTCATAAAATTAATAATAATGCATATAGTGTACACAGAATACAGCCATGATTCTGAAACTGTGTAATAGAATAATACCAATGTAGAGTTATGATTGCATTTGATGTAATGTAATCAACTGGAATGCATGCATGTAATACTTGAACAACAACTGATATTGACTAAGGGCCATTCGAGTTACATTGAACTCACCAGAAGACCAGTCCCAGAGGTGTGGACACTAACTTTCACACCTTTACAAATCTGTTATAAATAGATGTAGGAACCATTGTTCTCGAGTTCGCTGGTGGAGGCGACAGACGGGCACTAGGGATGGTCAAAAGGACTGACCTGGGGCCTGTTGGTTGCTGAGACCAGCGGCTCCTCAGCTGAGATGTTCTTTTTACCACAACACCATCTCTTTTATTAAATACATTTGATTTAACCTTTTGATCTGCACTGACCTCTGTCCGTCCGGCGTTTCTTCATTTTTGAATACGACATTAGTATTATGTAGTATTTTCTTTGTGTCTCATTCACTGTTAAGAGGCCCCACACAGAACTGAGCACCTGGTTCGTCTGAATGTCTCAGATGATACGACATCATTTCCAGGACCTACTGCTCTGTGCAGTTTAACAGGAACTACGTGACTCATCAAGAAGCTCATGTGTTGTTAGTTTCTGTTGAGGCTTTGTTGCATTTAACAAATTCTGTTTTCTTGTGTCCAAATCCGGTGTGTGACCCTTTACCACCTGACATTTAAAGGGCATCTTTCTTCTCTTTCAGAAATTGCTGGGATGCGACGGCAGTAGTTATTGGAGCCTGTATTTTCCCTTTACTCTCAAATCAGTATCATTACATGGGAGCAAGCAACAGAAGGTCGCGGCCTGATTTACAGTCATTTGCCCACAGCTTGGTGTTTTCAGCTACACAGAATATTTTACATTACAGGACGTGACAAAACAAGCCTGAGAACAATCTGCGCAAGGAGCACCCATTCTCAAAAGTGAAACAACACATGAGTGAAAATCTTTTTTTGCCATAACTGATGAAAGTCTTTCAATATTTTACACCGTCTAATACCATGAGCTTTCAACTTTACTTGCTGACGGGCAAAGTAGTTTACAAGAAAAATTGATTATGTGTGAGTCTGGAATAAATACATTTAAAAAACTGAATATGCAGGCCAGGATAAAACTATGTTATAAAGATGACTTTTACAATATGGTGGAATCAAACTAAAAAAATAAGTTTGTGGTATTTGAAGTTACAGCTGAATGTGCTTACTGAAATTTACAAACAAAAGATATAATCAGTTCTTCAAATATAATGCTGTGTTCTTCAACAGATAACTCTTGACAACTATAAAATACCTCTAATCAGCTAGAATATTAAATGCTTCCCCTTTTGTTAATAAATCAGTAATTACATATTCAAACAGTATATTATTATAGAATATTTTGCACAAATATTTTACATTTTTAAGTGGTATATCTAGTACACCCTTATGTGTACTAGATAATAACTGAATTTAGCTCATATCGTTTAATAATTTTACCTCATCATGTGAGTACCTCCCCCATCAGTGTTTAAATAAATTAGTGCAAGTGTACAAAGGCAATCTTTTTGATATGGGCAGCTTGTCGACTATATTTTGTCAAACATAATAGATTTAGGATAAATGAAATATATTTAGGCACATGCTTGGGTTTTGAAACATATTTCGATTTTTGGAATAAAAATGTACTACACAAGCAAAATAACTTTTTTTTTGGTATAGCACAAAATCGCAAAATTCAAATTTCCTGTGATTATTTTATGAGAAAGAACCAACAATTCAATACTGTGGCGCGTGTGTGCGTGTGCGTGTGTGTGTGTGTGTGTGCGTGCCTGCAGCGCCATCCAGTGGACAGAGTCCGCACCGCAGCGCACCTGTATCAGAAAACATTAAACACCACAGCACCACAATGAACGCAGGAAGTTACACAAACGTGACTTAGTCCTTTGTTGTAAGATGCGGTTTCCATTTCAACATCTGGATTTTTTCCCTCCCTTTAACTTAAATCGTAAAGCGGGCGCTTTGGCGTCCGGGGCTTCTCTCGTCGACGTAGCGAACCTCGACAGAAGCAGGAAGTCCGGTGGGGGGGGAACTTCTTCCAAACATGAACGTTGAACGCACCCTGAATGCGACACTTCTTTTCACCGACTAAAACCATGCCGAGCCGCGCTACCTGTTGACGCCTATTAACGTGTTGATGTTACTCTCCGTCGTCGTCAACGCGTCGTGATTTGTGCGCTCGGGGTCGAGATTATGGACGTTCCTCAGATCACTGAAGATGAAATGGCAGCGATTAAGAAAGACGTGAGTACGATGATTGAGACAGATATTCCCTCCCGATCCATCGTCGTTCCGATAAGGAAAGGTGACCGGAAGAAGAAAAAAAAGCAGATGTATTGCTCCGTTTCCTTTCCTTTTTATTAATTTTTTATTAGTTTACACCTGGTGTGGCGTTAAGGGCCTGTGAAAAAGGAGGAAATAGCCCATCGCACCTTCTCTGTGCCCACATCCACACGCAATAATCTTCTGGAGGGTTAAAACCGCGACAAACTCACGGAGGGGGAAGTTGAGAGAACGAAATGTGTAAATAAAGATGGTGTACCTGATCAAACAAGTATCCCATATCCCATCTCTGGATATGAATTTGGGAATCCCCCTCTATGAACTGTGGTATTTTATAGTTTCTTTTTCATACTTGATATGATTGATCATATTTTTTTTCCATAACACTGTGCCTCTGTCTTTATTTCCCCTTATAAAACCTCCCTGTGATTCTGTGCATATAAAGCAGCCGTCCCGGGTCTCACAATAGAAAGTCTTTCCTCTCACCAGGTGCTGACCAGATTGCGGCACTACCTCTGCGACAAGATCCGAGCCGAGCGCCACCTGGACTACCTGCGCTCCCGCCGGATCCTGAGCCGGGACGACGCGGAGGAGATCGGCTGCAGGTCCACGCAGACCAAGAGGACGGGCACGCTGTTGGACACGCTGGCCGAGAACCCCCGGGGCCTGGACGCCTTGATCGACGCCTTGAGGGAGTCGCGCACGCAGAACTTCATCATCACCAAAATCACGGACGAGGTGCAGAAGGCCAAAAACGAGAAGGTGGAGTCGCTGCGATGTGAGTACGGCCGAGGCGCCGCCAAAAGCCCTTTTGGCACCTTCTGACCTCTTTGGTTCAAGTTCTGAGCTTTTCGTCTTCTTGCGCCGTCCCACAGGCGCCGCTTCCAGTTCGCTGCCCGCCGGCAGCCTCGGCACTCTGGTCACGAACGGCGACAACCTCTCCATGTACTCCAACAACTCCACCCTGCTGCTGCACCCCGACGGAGAGAGCAGCCCCTCCGCCCCGGCACGCTCGCTCAGCCTGCCGTCGGCGCCCTCGACGGCGTCCGGCGTCAGCGGGGCCGCCTCCTCCTCCCCCGCCGCCACCACCTCCACCACCTGCACCACCCTCCCCTCCTCCAGCCTGCCGAGGCCCGGGGACCCCGGGGCCCCTCCGCTGCCGGAGGAGGTGATGCTGGACCCGCCCTCCAACGTGGACGCCGCGGCGCCGGGGTACACCAGCAGCGGCGGGGACCCGAACTTCCAGCCCCTCCGGTCGCGCTCTCTCACTCCGACATCACACAGGAGCGTCTTTTAGTCTCACAACCCGACCAAGACACTTTTAACCCTCCCCCCTCATCTCCCCATCTCCCCCCTCACAGACTCTCTCCTTGTTGCCGTTTGATTGGGCACGAATGGGCTCACGTGGGATTTATTTCTACCAAATCAAGCAACCGTTCATGATCGAGATGGGCGCCATCTTTTCCCGTGGGTTAATATTGTATATCGCTAGTGCTAATTCATGAAGCTTAGTTTTTAATACAAGTATAGTATGACGTATTTTTAGTAAACCAACATGTTTATTGCAGGTGTACAATAAATGAAAGGCCAATTGATGAATTTGAGCAAGCGTTCAACGCCAGCTTTCACTTTTCAATACTCGAATATCGAGGTTCGAATCCCTCATTTTGAGCTCAGAAATTCTTTTTTTCTTTTTTTTTGTTTTACCAAAGGTGTGTTTTCCGGATAAACCGTTGAACCCGGCTCATGCGTTTTAGGTGAAAAGTGGAATGACTAGAACTGACGTGCCTCATCTCGTCAGACGCTGCTCTCGGTCGGTACCTCCAAGCGATGATCCGACGCTCATTCCGTGCAGCATTAAGTCGACACCGAGTTGCTTTACGTATTCGTCACTACAAAAGTCTTCAATACCAAAACCTGTCGTGAGGGAACAACACGTGTCCCACTTTATTGTATTTACCTGGTCGTGTACAATTGTTGATTGCATACTAAACGTCTTCTGTTAAATCAACTCATGTTTCCTCTCTTCATTGGTGACCATGTGGGGGGTTGAGAAAGTAAAAGGTGTGGTTTAATTACTGATTTCATCGCAGATTATTCCTTAAAACTTTTAGCCCGTCTTCCCGTTTCGGCGGAATAAAATGACAGAATTTCGAAAGCTCTTACGGTAACGCAGCGTTAATTCCCTGCAGAAGCCCACAAACAGTTTCTGTGCGCTCAGCGGTTCCGCAACGGCTGTGTAAAAACTGGAAAAGCTTAGCGTGACGCAGTGACATGACCGGTCTTTGTGGTGGAGGCTGGTGTGACAGCAGTCTGACAGAGTCTGGGTGGCAGACTAGTCGCTCGCTGGTGTTCAGGTAATTTATTTTACATTATTACAATGTATCTGTACACTTTTTCTTCCAATTTGTTGCTTTTGCTCTCAGAATATAAACTCCAGTTTGTTTGTTATATTTATTATGTAACTGTTCTTCACTCATTTTACAGTTTACGTTTTTCTATGTCATGGTTTGATGATTTAAGTAAAAGTATTTAAAGTTTGCATTTAAAGTCTGCTGCATAGTCAGGTCTGCTCCAATGAGCTTTGTTAAGTTAAAAGGGGCTAATTAATCATTTTAAAGAGTTTTGTTTTTGTTTTTGTAGCTTGTTTCAGCACAATTAGTCCGCACCCCACACAGATTTTTAAATAGCCGAGGGAAGCGAGCGCAGAGCCCACATGCAGGGAAACCAGTTGGATCACACATCACAATGACTGGAATGGTTGCAGCTTTATCTCCAGCACACATCTGATCGATGCGATCAGAGCAGACTCAGACTCGCTCTCCAACACAGGGGCTGAGAGTCATGGGGGACCGGTTGGCCTCGAGGGCGGCGGGCAGGAGGGTCAACGGACACGGCGGCAGGTGGAGCGCTCCCGCGCTGCAGCCGGAGGCGGTGGAGGACTTCAGACGGAGGCTCAAGTACTTCTTCATGAACCCGTGTGAGAAGCACCGAGCCAGGGGCCACAAACCCTGGAAACTCATGTTACAGATATTAAAGATCGGGATCATAACAGCCCAGGTACTACGCATTTCTATTCCATTATCACTATGTTGTCATCTGTCATGGAGGGTCTATGTATGACATGTTTTCTCCCCCCTCTACTGATTCAGTTAGTCACTTTCGGCCTGAGCAACGAAATGATGGTCACCTTCAAAGAGGAGAATCTGATGACGTTCAGACACGTGTTTCTCAAAGGTTACAAGGATCACCGGATAGGAGGCTACGCGCTGTACACCAGAGCAGATGTGTACGATCACGTCAGCTACATCATCCACAGGGTACCGACCCCTCCGCGTTCACGTCTCACCACGTCTCATTTCATGTTGTTGGAATACAGGGTTTACTCCTCTTTGCACTTTTTTTCTTTTTACAGTTCATTAATCTTCAAAAGCTGGCGGTCGGTAATCTTGCGTACGCGAGAGTTGACGGCAAGTACGGCCCTCTGTCGGTGTGTCAAGAGCTTTACAGAAACGGCACCGTCGATCCTGGAAACGACACCTTTGACATTGACCCACTTATTGATGAAGGTACCACGCAAAAGCACACGATTGCTACACGAATACGCAAATGTGTAGCTATAGTTACCGTGAGTTGTGTCCACGTTGTTTAATGTATTTAGGGAAGTCGATTCGTGACTCATGACTCCGTTAAAAAGAGGAAGCAGCATATTGAGAGAAATATAAATTCCTCTGTTAAACTGTGGAAATCTGTGTTTCCTCCGCACAGAATGCGTTTCTTTTTACCCGCCGCAGCGGCTCGACGACGACAGTTTGGCCACACATGTGAACTTCTCTTTAGATTTCCAAAGGTGACCGAAGCTGAAGAGAAAAAAAAGACCGCCGTTTTCTGAGCGGGCCTTCTGCTGAACGCGTGTTTGTGTGTCCAGGCTGGTGTCGGTGAACATCTACCTCACCCTGAAGACCATCAACCTGCAGACCGTGCGGCACCACGAGCTGCCGGACTGTTACGACTTCCACGCGACGGTCGGTGACGACCTGCCGGACGCACCCTCGTCCTCAGCCCTGTGGGAACGCTTTCACCCGTTGGTCACCGCGCTCATCGTGTCGTTTTCACGCAGATCAAGTTCGATAACCGAGCGCACAGCGGGAGGATCAAGGTTGACGTGGAGAACGATGTCCGAATGCACGAATGCAGGGACTGGAACGTGGAAGGAGCGTGTGAGTTTTCCCCAAATCCAATCCTCCCCCAACAATCCACATGCACCATGAGCCAGTTAAAATAAGAAGCTTATAATGTTTATTGCTTCTAACGCCAGCAGAAAGGTGCAGGAACATGTCTTAGTGACCCTTGACCCCTGTGTGATCTAAGTCAGGATTTCTGTCATATTACAATAAAACCAATGCAATGGACGTGCTGCCCTACTAGAAAGATTCAGTTTGCTATTATTACGCCCCACAACCCTTTGCAAAGAAGATATAATAAAAAGGTCAAAGTTCATGATGTAGTGGGCTATTGAATGCGTACTGCAACGGTACTTTGGGAGTGCCAAGAAGCAAGTGTAGCTGTACAGCTACGAGCGCGTCTGTCGCTGCGACCTGAAGTTTGCGTCTCTGGTCTCCAGCTGGAAAGAGCGACTTCCTCCTCCTGTTGTTTGACTCGGTGGTCATCCTCGCCTGCTTCCTGTCTCTCCTCCTCTGCTCGCGGTCCGTCGTCAACGGCATCCAGCTCCAGTTTGTAAGTTGTGGCGATTGTGAAGACGGTTGTTGTAAATGTGCGTCGGCTGCAGGGCCGCGGGTGTATTAAGATATTCATGTTGAGAACAGAAGAACAGTCAATTTAACGGATAATTTACGGGGGGGTTACCTGGTACGGAGTCGTCACCTCGGTATTATTAAGGTGTCCATATAACACTAAATATGGAAGGTATGAATCCTGCATGTGTGTTCAATAACATCTGCATTTTCTCTCCTGCAGGAGTTCAACACGTTCTTCCATGCGTACTACAATAAAGTCGTGTCTTGGTCAGACCGCATGGAGTTTGTGAGTGGCTGGAACATCCTCATCATTGTGAGTGACACCTTGACCATCGCTGGGTCGGCACTTAAAATTGGAATCCAAACAAAGGTTTGCCTTTCATTGAGCTTTATTTTCTGTATTTTTAAACGTGATTGTGGAAATAGTGTGGGCCTTTAGCTCATTTTGAGTTTGCCTATTTAAACTCCTCTCGCAGTACCTGACGAACTACGACGTCTGCAGTATCCTGCTGGGAACCGCCACCATGCTCGTCTGGGTCGGAGTGATTCGCTACCTTGGTTTCTTCAAGAAATACAACGTAAGAACTTCCCTGGTTTCTTTTCTTTTCGGGCCTATAATGCAATCAGCCGAGCCGTTAGAATCCGCAAAGGCACATCCGGGAGAACTGACAACCTCGATTCGTCCGTAGATATTAATCTTAACCGTAACGGCGGCGTTCCCCAACGTGATCCGATTCTGCTGCTGTGCGGCCATGATCTACCTGGGTTACTGTTTCTGTGGCTGGATCGTCCTCGGGCCTCACCATGACAAGGTGTGCAACTTGGAGTCCCCCATTAATCTTTCTCAAGCCTCTGTGTGTGTGTTCCATTAAATCCCTGCACATCGGGGGAGAAATTATACTAAACTATTTTTACGTTTTCCAGTTCCGAACCCTCGACAAGGCGACAGAGTGCCTCTTCTCTCTCATCAACGGGGACGACGTCTACATCACTTTCCAGAAGATAAGACACGGGGGCAACATGGTGTGGCTTTTCAGCAGACTTTACCTCTACTCCTTCATCGCCCTCTTCATCTACATGGTGCTCAGCCTCTTCATCGCTCTCATTACTGACACCTATGAGACCATCAAGGTCAGTCCGAGTCACCTGGATTCACCGCGCCGAGGACCTTTTTTTCAGGTCGTGGTTTTTATGTATGCTTCCGTTTGACGATGATACTGTGCGCTTGTTCTTTTCCAGCGTCAGCAGCAGGACAGGGTGCCGGTGTCTCAGCTCCAGGCCTTCGTAGCGGGGTGCAGGGACCTGCCCAAGTCTGGAAGATACCACACTGGGGAAGAGGCCGCTGGCTGCTGCCTCTCTTCGTGCCTCTGCTTTGGATGAAATGACAAAATGGCAGCTTTTACCTCTGCCCAGTGTGGCAGAATACGTTTTTACTCAATTGTTCTTTTTAAAATTGTTTTGTTACTTGACTAGCGGAACACTACAGAGGATGTTATGCTCACCAGAGAAATGACCTGTTTGTGAATATGGATTCACAGCCTCAATATAGTGGCACATTTAAATGTGCTTTTGAACTCAACTTTTATGTTCTTATAGGGGGGCGGGTTACAAATCAAGAAGATCTTCATCATTTGTAGTAGCTTAGTCGTGGATTATGCTCGACAGATATGCAATCAGGTATGTCTTTATTTGATGTATTTGGATGTATAAACTACTGACATGGATTCGAACAAGTTGCGTATTTTTTGGATTGACTTAAATAAAAAATAAAATCTACTATATAAATATTCCACCGAGATCACGTGACACCAGGTGCCACAGCGGAGCCATCCGCAGCAGGTCTCATTTGCATAATCACCCACTTGCTCCCGTTCATATCCAATGCGTGGCTCAGATACTCGTCGCTTAGCAACGCTGCCTCCAATAACACTGGCGTTTGGTTTGAAGCAGCTGAGGAATAGACTTTAATAAAACACACACACACACACACCTCCAGCGTCCCTGCTTCGCGTTGACGTAGGGGGGGGGGATTTGACGGCTCTACGCGGCTCGGCGGTTTGCTGGTGTTACGGATTATATGGATCCATCGTTTTGTTGATTTGAAAAAAAACGCACGCACAAAAATTGGCAGCCGGCGGATAAGAGTTGACCCAGTTGACGCCTCGGCCGTGAGTATTTTTTAACTTTAACGCATTAAGCTAGAGAACTGCAACGACAGCAGTTCCCGTTGGTGAATGAACTACTTCTTGGCTCGGTTTTTACTTGTGTTACAAATGAGTAACGTGTAACCGCCCGTTTGTGTGTCACTGTGGCCGTTAAAGTGCTTCTGTCACCGTAACTTCTTAATGAAAACACAGAGGCTTAACCGTAGCTAACGTTAGCGAACAGCGTAACGTGTTGTGTTTTAACGTAACGTGTGACTGACGGTTGTTGCAACCGTGTGACGTCATAAGTAACTAATACATAACGACGCTGAGCCGACGCTCGCGTGACTTTATCGCCGCCTCCCTTGAAGTACCTTGGGCGAAGAGTCCCGCACGTTTTTTTTTCTGGTTTGTTAGATACCCTGCGAGGGCGTGTGCGCTTTTGGGACACACGCACAAGTTTTTTAGTGACTAGTGGTCAGGACGTCATCAGGGTGTTCTCCTTTCCAGCTCAAGACTGTTGCTTCGCTCGCTTAACGTGACTCCCCTTGTTTGTTTGTTCCCCGCGTCGCGCTTCCCAAGCGGGGGACCCCCCCCCCCCCCCCCCCACTCCGTGCACCGGGACGGGTGACTCATATATCTGGTTTAGCTTGTTTCACCAGAGCAGGTAAAGATTATAATTTAGCCCTGAAGGCACAAAAGTAGAAAAAAAAACACAAAAAAAACCATGCACTCACACATTTATCCCGTCTGCAATGGATTCCCTCGTTTGTTTGCTGATATCATTCTACCACCCTGCAATTCAGTTGCCAAAGCCCAACAGGAGGCCGTCTTAAAACCAAACTACTGGCACGTTAATCCTGCGTGGGTGAAGCAGCAACCCAGATTATCTGATGCTCGATGGTGCTTTGCAGGGCTCCGTTCCAGTAGGCGCCTCCGATCCGCCGTCTGACCGCTAATCCGCCTCCCGGTTGATGACACGTGCCCTCGCATCTCCGACGGCTGATGCGGCTGTGACATGGGGGAGTGGTGGACAACTGGGCCGATAGGGACGTCCGTAGGTACGTGTCTCTGCTAATGGGGATGTATTTTGGTGGAAATTGTCAAGAATAGAAAGGCTCATCAACGGTGCTTTTTTTGGGATCTGCCAGAGGTGACCCATATTGTTGTTCCCATTTTAGAGCAGCGACCTAATTTAAGCCTCTCCGTATGAGGACATGCGTTTGGTGTAACGGGAGTTGCAGTAATTTCCCCTGTCTATTTTGTTTTTAGGAAACTATGAGATCTCCAACATATCTCATGTGACAATGTCCCCCTCGAGACAGAACAACCTTGCCTCAATGTATTCCTCTTTACCGCTGTCCTACAATGTGCTCGGGGCCTTCTGCACAGAGGATAACATCCCCCAGTGCGTTTCATACATCAATCAGGTACAGAAACGGTTTGCTCATTCACCGCTATTGCGAAATCTTTTTGTTAACTTCCGTAGTGATCGTTTACTGTACCTGTGGCTTAATTCTTTCACAGGAGCTTGACGCACTGGGCCTCTCTACGTGTATCGAGGCCAGCACACCGAGGGCCGCCGGCCTGAACTCCGTGCCAGCTCTGAATGCCATGTACGAGCTAATGCAGATTCACCGGCGCCATATGTCTTCTTTGGAGGAGCTTGAAAGGGAACAGCTTAAGAAATCCAGCACCTTGGACCACGTACAGATGAACAATTCCAGACTCAAGGTCTGTCTCTCTGGGTTATGTCTGTCTTGGTCCTATTCTAACACAACACAGTATTTTTTTGGCCTCTCTGGATGCGGCTCTGTGTGCCCATAGAGTATAATCTGTCTGTATGATGCAGTTACTGAGTATTGACCACTAGAGGTCTGAAAAGATACCTCCTCGCTTCCCATTCATATGAAAAGACATTAATGTGACTAGTTTATGAAGGAAACCAAAGTACTGTGCTCAGGCGGCTCACTACTTTATCTCTTTGAATAGCACTTTGATGGCCATGTTCGCTGTTTTTTGTGCTTGCTAGTGAAGAACTCAAGGTTATTTCTATCATAATATTATGATTGGGTGTTGTTCTGGAATTCACTCTCGCATCTTTAACCCTGAACTAATCTGTTAAGCAAAACTTACCACCTCATTGTGCTCGTAATACAAATTGTGCATTTCCCTCCCAGGATCAGTTGGAGCTTTCCATGAGGGAGAAATCGGGTCTACACGAAACAGAGCGGCAGCTACAACTCAAAATTAAAACTCTGCAGAGTTGCTTGAAAACCGAAAAGGATGAGGTATAATTGTACTTTTATCTTTTATAGTGAGCAACACTGGTGTTTTTTTTGTTGTGCATACGGTATGCATGAGCCCAACTCGATCCACCTGGACAGGTTCAGAAGCTGCAGAGCATCATCGCCAGCCGTGCCTCGCAGTACAGCCACGACGCCAAGAGAAAAGAGAGAGAAGCTGCAAAGCTCAAGGAACGCCTCAGCCAGCTACTGGTTGATCGAAAGGATAAGAAACTGGGTAAATGTCCTATAGTATAAAGACCAAATGTATTCTGTAAAAGTGCGAAAAAGTTCATTGACTTTTGGGCCCCTATGTCTCCCATTTAGCCATCGACGTGCTGAATTGTTTGGGACGGTCGGATGGAAAAAGAAGCCACTGGAGGACCGCGAAAGCAACAGTCGGGTATCATGGAAGCCACCGCGTCTTTTGTTCATTTCTAGGCAAAGTGAAGTCATCCTTTGGATTGTTGCATGTTGTATGTACGTTGCTCTCCTCAGGCACGAGGGTGAGATGTACAAGTCCTTGCTCAATGACTACGAGGCGAGTCAAAGGACCCTGGTGCTGGAGAACGCGGAGCTCAAGAAGGTCCTTCAACAGATGAAGAAGGAGATGATCCATATCCTGAGTCCACGCAAGCCGTCTCCCAGAGGAGCCACCGCTGATGACAGTCAGGAGCAGGTGTGTGTGTGTGTGTGTACACAACTATTTGTATCACTTGAGTTTATCAATTGTGCCAATAATAAGATGACCCTGTTCATTTTCATTGTTTTGCTCAGGCCAACTCAGACGGGGAGGAGAAGGCGGGAGATTGTAGCAGGGAAACTCTGGACCAATCCTGTGAGCACGCCAGGGAGCAGCTCGCCAACAGCATCCGACAGCAGTGGAGGAAACTGAGGAACCACATGGAGAAGTTGGATAGCCAAGGTACACGCGCTCACACACCCAAAGTCCTGCAAAAGTAGCTTGTGTAGTTGGATCTATAAATTAAATGTTTGTCAAACAACTTAATTGGAGAATATTTGAACGGTTTGAAATAAATCAAACTTTAGTAATCTACTGCTGGTGTATTTGTTCTCTAAGCCTCGCTTGTGCAGACTCAGCTGGAGTGCAATCAGGAGTTGATACTGAGGGAGACTCACGAGGATGAGATGGAGAGGATGAGGCGGGAAGTGCAGCAGTGCAAAGAGTTCATTCACGCACAGCAACAGCTCCTCCAGGTCAGTTTCTACGTGCGTGGGTAAGCGCCAAGATGGCGAGTAGCGGTTGTTCCACTATAGGATGGTTCTCATGTTATGTGGTAAAAAAAAAAATATTAAAACCCTTCGACCCATCCAGCAACAACTCAACACATCGTTTGATGACGAGACGGCCGCTCTTCTCAATGACTGCTACACACTGGAGGAGAAGGAACGTCTCAAGGAGGAGTGGAGGCTCTTTGAGGAACAGAAGATCAACTTTGAGAGGGAGAGAAAGAACTTCACAGAAGCCGCTATTCGCCTGGGACGAGAGGTTCTCAGCCCTCAGACTACAATATTCTTCAAAGTGTGTTGAATTCTCCTGCATCTCTTAGTTAAAATCGTTTTTTTTGCTCCACAGAAAAAGGCCTTTGAGGAGGACCGTGCTTCTTGGCTCAAGAATCAGTTTTTGAACATGACTCCGTTCACAGACCGACGGAGATGCTCCTCGTCTGATGGTCAAAGTGCCTTATCGATCAGTAAGTCGGCGTAATCTAAATAAAGTGCTAATAAAACTTGTCGTTAATAGAGGGGGAAGATGGTCACACGATTTAGAGAAATTAGTCACTATAATGAACAGGACTAGCAGATCATTTTACAAACTCCTGAATTTGGGGTGTGACTAACGGTGCTTTTCGTTTTTTTTAAGAGATGAGATGGATTTCATTAATGGCTGATTAAGAATAGTACTTACAATATACAAACGAATGTTCTCGTTGACTCATTAATTTTTTTATTTGTCCGCTGCATTTTAGAAAGTGAGCCAGAGATGAGGATGTCCTCTACGAAGACCCCGCTGGTCAAATCATCAACCTACACTCCGTTCTCCACTCCCAAACCTTCGCTAAGTGCTACGGTGCCATCTACCACTGAACTTTACCGGTCACTCCGCCTGATGCCAGACAGCAGGTAATATTCAGTGGCTTAATGTCACTATTGTCTGTATTAAGCTACATTTTAATTTGTGTCTTCTGCTCCGCTGGTAGTACTTGTGCCATGTCATACTTGGGTATCCCTTTGTTCTTTTTTTCCTATTGTCATTACAGTTCCTCTAGGCATTCAAACCGAGGACGCTGGCAAGAGTCCAGCAGCATTGAAGATGGAGACGTTGGGGTCAAATCAAAAAACAGAGTTCGATCTGGAGACTTGAGTATCTTCTCTTTGGGTGAAGATGAGAACAGCCTCGCTTAAAGAACTTCCAGTGCCTCATTAGTTGTGACTTCATTTCGCAGTGGACTTTAATCAATCAATTCATGGTGGAATTGAACACTACTCATTGTTCTCAGCATTTTTGTTTCTTTATGAACATTAGCATTCACCAAAGCTTATCAAACCAGAAAGCACTTTAATGATATTGCCATTGTTAAATTATTTACTTTACAAAAACCAACAGCGACGTTTCAGATTTTAAGCAATAATCCAAGGAGATCAACCAAGTTGTGATTTTGAACATAATGGAGTGAAACATTTTATGTGTGGATTATTTTAAATGTTTGTTTGTTTACATTCTTGAACAAATTTATACATTATGATTTTAATAAGATCCTATATTGACAGACGATTGATAATGATCTGGTATGACGGTACAATAAAGAGATTTGTCTTTTTAATGAAATCTGTTCTTTTCTTCGATCTGGCGCCCGCTAGTGTGAATAAAGAGGGTTCGTGGTCACAAGTTCCAACAAGCGGAATCCGGATGTGATCATATTTGCTTTTGTCTCCCGCATCCAGCCCGGAATCCCGCCCACCGCCCAGTGTTCATTTTTCACTGAAAAAAAACACCTCGACAATGTCTGGTTCATCCAACCTGGTAACCATGAAGAAGGTCGTACAGCAGCTGCGTTTTGAAGCGAGCATAAACCGAGTGAAGGTAAATAACGCGCATATTGTTTTCTGCCAAATAACGAAGTGAGAACGAGGCGGGCGGGGGCAGATCTCAACCGCTGTGTCGCTCCGCTATCGACGCTAGCATGCTAGCTGTTGCTAACGGCTAGCAGCTGCTAGCGGCTAGCCGCTAGTCAAACAGCGTAACGTTAGCTTTAGCAGGGCGTTGCTTGGACCGAAGGGAAGTGCTTGTAGCGAACACTGAGCTTAATTCGGTTTCACTTTTTAGCTCGGGACATTTAGCATCTGCCTGTTACTTACTCCAGATGACTAGCTAGCACGCAAACTAAATCTCACCTCGCCCAGAAGCGAGTTTATTGTTCCCTAACGATGCACATCGGCTACCTGGTGAATCGGTTTCAGAAGTCAAAGGCCATTTCCAGTATGTTCGCAAGTTACAGTGCAAAATAACTTCACCAACTCATCGGCAGGATACAATGAAATGAGCGATTAACTGAGAAATAGTGATTCTATGAATCCACAGCATTCCGTGTGGGTTCGTTTGGAATGTTTGATCAACACGGTTCTACAGCACTTTCTGCGAATCCCCGATGACAACATTAATTCGTAATATAGTCTCTTGACCCAGGTTTTAGGTTTGTAAATTATTGAGACAATTGTTTGACGAATTCAAGCAAATAAAGTAATTTCCGTAAGTAAGAGACTAGCAAAATGTCAAATTGAAGCATCAATCTCCCAACTTTCCATTTATTGTACAGATCAAGCTTAAGAACACAATACGGTTTCCATAATTAAGTTCAGTGGTCTTTCTTACAGTCACATTTTTCAGAATTTGAAGAGTTCCCCGCTTAGCCACAGAGGACATTTCATCACTGGTCTTAATAACTTGACCCCAGGTTTAAAATCAAGCATATATTTAAGCAACTGCAATATCCCGTGTCGTGCTTCACATTTTGGTTCTCCTTTTGTCACCAGGTTTCCCAGGCAGCTGCAGACCTGCAACAGTTTTGCATGCAGAATGCCATGCAGGACCCTCTGCTCACTGGTGTGTCCTCCAGCACCAACCCGTTCAGGCCACAGAAGGTCTGCTCCTTCTTGTGAAACCACTGCATTCATTGGTAAGTCTGCTGTAGATGTGATTCACCTACTGTACATACAGCACAGGCAGCTGTGTGATTTCTGGAATATATTTTACGTGTTCCCATCTGTGCTTTGAAAATAAAGTTCGGTTGGAGGAGTTCACAGTGGAGGAAAAATATCTTAAACTTCTCAGCCTCTCCAGTATTACTTTTACGTACTACATTACTTTGACGTCTACGTGTATGTTCAATGCTAAAAATGTTACCTTCACAATGTGGATGTTAATTAAATCTACATAATATCTATCTGACTAATAACTTTCTTGTTATGCAGGCCTTCATTTTGATGCTACAGGGAAAAGTTGACCTCAACACTGCTCCTCATGCCAAGCCATTATACTGCCACGGGATCTCTCGAGTGTAGAACACATTGGACTCATGTCAGGAAGATGACCATCTATTTTCAGCCACAGTGGAAGAAAGGAAACAGTTTTATTTTTCATGGCACAGTGTGATTTTCGAGTAAATAATTGTGCCTTTTCTATTGTTCTATTTTAGTCATCACTGTTCTGGACTTTTTTGTATTTAATGAATAAAAAAACATTCTTTACTACTCCAATGTTTTTGATTGGCCTTTTCTCTTTCTTGCTACTCCGCACCGATCCACTTTATGCTGTATTCTAATGGTTTTAAATAACAACGGGATATTTTAGTTGCATCTTGATGTTTCGTGATTCCGTACTGGAAGAAGTACCGTTGAGTGTCCTCCACAGACCTTTAGATTCTTCACTTGTTTTTCACCGCAATCAGTTATCAATGCTTGTCCATTTTTGACCAGTCAAAATGTATCCTGTAAAAAAGGTATGCAAGGACAAAGTAGTATAATATCGGATATATGAAAGTGTGGACTAAGATATAAAAAGTGACATGAAATAAATGTAATTGAAGGTGCAATTGTAAAATACAAATGGAAAACATAAGGGGGCGTTTTGAAATGTTTGATACGTATTCAAATATATACACGTCAAAGTCAACTAGTTGGATTACTAGTGTATATTGTAACACACAAATGTGGCGCTCATATTCTCAACGTTCAAACGAGGCTCCGATATGACGCTCCCATGCTACAGCTGCTAGTTACTCTCGTCCAACTCGGGTTCAGCTCTCGCGAGAAGTCAATCCAGGAACACGGGGGTACTGATCCCAGGTCTGTCTCCTCGTCCAAAGCTGTCGGCGTTTACATTGGAGATCGTAAATCCCAACTGCAACTCAGCCAGCCGAATGAAACCAACCTTCAGAGTGAGAAGAATGAATTATGGGACGGCGTTGCTGTGGAAACGACGGTAACTTATTTTGTTAACCTACGTTAAATAAGCACGCCACTAAAGCCCAGCGGTTAGAGAACCGGCGACATCTGTCATTTCCGGCCGTTCTAGAAAGGCCCGCGAAGGTTGCTCGATAGGTCTTAGGCTCGCCGTTGCTTGTACCCGGTTAATGGCTTGACGTTGCGTGATGCTAACGGGTCGACCAGTAGCGCAGCTAGCATGATGATGCTCCAGCATGGCTCCACGCAGCTCCTCTGCCTCACGGCCAGCAGCGGGGTCCCCCTCTTCACCAGGGGGGCCTCCAAACAGCTGCCGTTCTCCGTCATCGGCTCCCTGAACGGCGTCCACATGTTCGGCGCCGGTCAGGGGGTGGAGTTGTCCTGCTGTGAGACCGAAGGTGGGGGCAAGGTGGTGTGGAGAGTCTTCCAGGACAGCGTGATGCTCATCGCCGTGAGCGGGGGTGGACGAGGCGGTGCAGGCGTCGGCAAAGCGGAGGAGCTGCGTCTGCGGCGCCTCCTGGAGAACGCGTGGAGCTGCATGGTGCTGGTGCTGGGGCAGGATGAGCTGACGGATGTCAGGAATGTGGAGAGGCTCAAGAGGGACTTGCGGTCTTGCTTCACCCTGGTTGATCAGCTGCTGGAGGACAGGCAGGAGGGCATCCTGGGTAACCTGACCCACTGCGTCGACTCGCTGCTGCCCCCCGACCCCACCATCCTCCAGGAGGCCGTGGACGGCTTCGCTCAGGCGGCGGAGAGTGAATTTGGCTGCCTCCTCGTCCGTGGGCGGGTCGCCTCGGCAACCGAGAAGTGGTGGCGCCTCGCTCCGCAGGAGGTGGTGCTGCTCTCGGCTCTGATGCGGACCCTCTCGGCCTCGGGCTCGGCCTCGTGCGATTATCCGGTTTTCCTTCCTAAGGGCAGTCCCACCGTGGCCCACCGCCTGCTCCGCTTCCAGCTGCTCCCTGGGGCAGACGTGTGCGTGCTGTGCGGCCCAACGCCTTCCCTGCACAAGGCCGAGAGCAGGCTGGTGGGTGCTTTCTGGACACCCTTGGCGGAGACCCTGAGAGGCTGCCTGGCCATCGGAGAGCAGTGCTTACCGGGGTCTGTGTCCCTGCGTCCTGACCTGCTGGCGGTTCTCCTCATCAACCGGGAAACCCGTCGCTCGGTCTCCCTGGTGCGCCCGTCCACCGCTCATCCTCTCGGTGATTCGCCCTCCAAGGCCCGCTGCTGGGAGCTCCTGAGGCTCTTCTACGTCTTCAGCACCACACACTACTTCACGCAGGAGGAGACGTCGTCCGCCTCCCCGGAGGAGAGGCCTCAGAGGGGTCACAATGAGGACTTTGTCCTTGGATTCTCCCATCAGCCGCTGCAGTGCTATCTGGTCACAGATGAGTGCAAGAGCTTTGGACTTCAGACACCACAGCACCAGCTCTTCCTGCTCGTCCCCCCGTCTGTGCCCAGCTTTGCACTGCGTACGTTGGCCACGCAGACTCTCTCTGATATAGTTGCTGCCACTGGGTTCTAATGAAACCATTTACTTTGTTACATCTTAAATTTCATTGAAACCATCTGCGACCTCATAACGTACCAGGTATTTATTTAAATGAGAATGAGCTGCTCCTTAGATGTCTCATATCTTTATTGAGAAACAGCAAACATGTATAATTCCGTGTTTGCTAACATCTAGAGGCGTAAAAGTCAGCTTCCTAACAGAAAATGGATAACGTACCACTTGTTCAAGTTTGCTGTAAGGTTATCACTGTTAACGTATGACTGGGGATCTTTAGTAGTGCTCATGTAAATAATTGAAAATTTCATACCAAACCACTTGTTTTGCGTTTAAGAGATAAGTCACTTGTGTCTGACTCCACTGGCTTCAAGGCTGTTCCTGTAATGACAGATAGTGAATACTAATATTGTGCTGACACTACTTCAAAATGTGTCAGAGAATACTGTGAAAATGTTACACTGGGATAGATAAGTGCCTGCTGCTTTCTGTGTAGACTTTTCAATAATTTGGCTACAAACATAAAGCAACTATTCTGCTGATCTGCCTTCGCTATTTTTAATCTTAAAAATTGTTTCCGTGGGTCTTGTGGTCTCGAGTGATCTACATCCACTGATGTGATAATGACAATGTTTTGGCCTTTTAATGGCAAAATGACCACGGGGTGAATACGGCATTTTAACATTTTTTACTTACACTTGCCAAAAAAAGGTAAAGGTAAACCGGCAGGTTTAATGGTTCTAGTAGTAAATATTCACAAAGTGATTTCCGATGACAACTTCAAATGTTTCTTTAAGTTTCTGATATTTCTCACAAACAGTGTTAAAATATCAACCTCATTCTTTATAGTGGCTAAGTTTACAAAACACACCACTTATACTTATTTTTAGAAAAAACTGATTGCAGTTCTACTGTGGAGGACCAGAGTTTGTGGAAGTTCACACTTGGTTCCAGTCCCTTCTTTGTAATATAATTGTAGGCTACCTCTCATTGCACAATACATGCAGATTTAGTTATTTTCATGAAAGCCAACGCGAGCGAACAGAGGTGGACCTTCCCCCTCGAAATAGGAGGCGCTTTCGGGATTTTTTTTATTAAAGCTCAACCAGAGGCCCTCCGAGTCTCCTCCCAAACCGCACGGAACAAAGCGTGTGTGGGGGGTTGCAGCGCGGCGAGCTCGGCACAACGTTGAAAGCTGCGCGCGGGTCCGTCGGTCGTAAACCCTTCCGAGCCTCGTCGGGTCCAATAGAAGGGCCCCCTGATTGACAGCCCGAGTAAGGTGAGAAGGGGGTGGGGAAATAACGGTTTACGCCGGAGCCGCGCGAGGGTGGGGGCTGGAGCGGGAGCCGCGCGCGCGCGCGCCCGCTGGCTGTGGCGTTGCCATGCGTACGGGGAACGAACCCCGATAACTCCACTGAGTGCAACGGCCGTCTGCGTGTGTGGTCGTGATTCAGGGACCCGCGGGGCATTCTGAGCCCCCCACCCCCCCCATCGGTACTTTAACTCTGCGACAGGTCCAAAGGTCTGAACGGAGCGACAGCCGGCGGTGTAAGTTGCTGAGAGGCGGTGTAAGTCGCTGTGAGCCAACTTGCTGAAGGAGCGAGAGAGCAAAAAAACAAAAAAGCAGCCGCGCAACATGTCAGCCACGCGGATGCAGTTGCTGTCGGCCAGAAACGTCCGGCTTTTCACCCAGGGGCGAAGCGAGTTATCGGCCGGGGTTCGCTCGCCCACCTCACCCGCTCTGTGGTCCCCCTCTCCCGGCAGGGCTCTGTCGGGTCTGAGCGCGACGCGGCGCGGGCTCCCCAAAGAGAAAATGCCCGAGAACGGAGCGTCGGCCCGGGCGAAGGTGTTGACCCTGGACACCATGAACCCCGCGGTGAAGAAGGTGGAGTACGCCGTGCGGGGGCCCATCGTGCAGCGGGCCGTGGAGCTGGAGAGGGAGCTCTCTGAGGTTTGTGAAGGGCCGCCTGACGTCACTGTTCGCACCACCTGTACCTCCGAGTCCAAACTTTACCTGTTTACTATTTATCGTTTTGATTTTATTTTACTGTTTATCTGTGGCCAGAATGTTTAGCATCACTACTCCATGGAAGCAGTTTTACTGAAGCAGAAACCTGGAAAATTGTTGTTTATATTGGTCAATATTTTGCCATTAAATATCTATTAATATTAATTTGAATCTCTTATAAAATAATAGGAAAAGAATAGGAAGCTTAATTGGAATATGACTCCAGTCAGTGTGTTTCATTAAGCGCATTAACCTAAAACACCAAACTCTAGTTTAGATTGAACACCAAACTCTTGTGTGTCTGTTACACTCCCTCTTATCAAAGTCCACAGGTTCAGTTAGTCAGTTCCGGTGCGCGGTTGATCACCATTCAATATCTGTAGACTTGTTTGGTAATGTATAATCTTTTTAAACCCGTCTCTGAAACCCGTCGGTGAGGTGAAGGTCCATGGTCTAAAGCGGAGACGGTTTCTGTTGTCTTGTGTGTCTCAATGTCTGACGTACACACACATCTGCGACCTCACTTGACCTCTGACAGTCATAAAATCCAACTGCTGATAAGTAACATAACTTTCACTTTTAGAAGCCACAAAGCATGGTATCTTTGTTGTGAAAGGTCCCCTCTGAAGTGTAGAAAATTGATAGTAGAAAAGATTGGTGAGACGACGCTATCCAGGTATTCCAGGTGATTGACAATATAAATGTTTCTCTTTAGTTTTCAAGGTTTGTCGATTCCTTCTGCTCACACAGTTTATGGTGATGTGGCAACCAGCTGTTGCTTTACTGAGTGCGATCTGGTGTGAAAACTGTCCTGTCGAGTGCGTTGCTCAGGGAGGGACGAGTGTCGCGAGGACGTCCTCACTCAGGCGAAAAGGACGACGGGATCTGTGCTGACAGGTCACACTTGCACCAAGAGATCTCTGTCCATGTTTATCTGCAGATGATCCCCTTTTTCAGGCTGGTAAAACCCAGTTAATAATAATAATAACTCTCACAACTTTGACACTTTTTTTTATTCATCACAATTCAATTTAGGAAAACGTTTGTTGTTTTCATTGGCTGCAAACTGTCCCGCTGACAGCCTGTTTCCAAAAGTACTGAACTTGGTGAGATGGCAAAATGTATCCCAGATGATCATGTACAGTCCTCCCAGCTTTCCCTCGCTGGTTGGATGGTGTTGCATTTCTTTGGGAAATGGGTCACGCTGGTATTCTCTACTTCTTCCCCAAAACGTCCTACTCCAGTTTCCTACACACCTTGTTCTTTTGTACTGAGATCTTTGCTCCCTTTTAAATGTGGTACAAGAGTGGCCTTGTTATTCTTTTTCTAAGTTCTAAGGCCGTGTTAATAACAGGAAAAAACGCTTTAAGCGAATCTACTGTATCAGTTAACATGTGCACAAATAATTGCCCCACATGCAGTTCTGACATTGTGGTCTTTGTTCATCCTAATGAGCTGGTGGTGAATGAGCCCTTTGGAGGGAGTCGTTTCTGGGAGGGACCAAAGGATAGTTTTTGTCAAATTCTTTCCACTTATTTGACCAGCATGAAAAGCAACCTGAAAAAATGTTGCATTAAAAATGCATTGATCTGAATAATTTGCTATTGGTAAAACAAATCACACATTCACATTTTGTAAAATATATTTTTTCTCATTTTAGTTTATTGCGATGAGCATTCAACAGCTCAAATCACATTATTTTCCCTGCTTGGACGTTAAAAAGAACGCAGCCTTCAGGGTGCAGTCTGTATTGTTTGGACTGTTCTATCAGTGATCGAGGACAAAAAAGCACCGACCTTTCCAAGCCGGTTCTCAGGAGCAGAGATCAGTGTGTTTCAAAGAGGGCCCCCGTCATCAATGGGCGGTACTTTTGACCTGGGGGGTGTTATTCGACTTGTTGCAATACTATTGGCCCAGACTGAGAGACTCCTCTGCTGCGTGACCAATGACAGAATCTGACACCCAAACCTCCTCAAAGCTGAACCCCATCGGACAAATCAAATAAACATGCCGCTATGTTTTCCTTCTGCGTGAGGTTCCACTTGTGGCTTTTCTGCAGACTCACGCTGCTCCCAACATCTGGTTTTAACAGCGTTTGTGTGCACGTGCTCGTGTTTGTGCACGTGGCGGCAGCCTTGCTGTTTGTCCTCTCTAAGCGTTCTCAGCTGCTGAGAGATTAGGTTTCAGAAACGGCCTTGACCGTAAATTCTCCTAATTATATTTGACTTTGTTTACTTCTAATAATAATAATACATTTTATTTATATAGCGCTTTTCAAAGTACTCAAAGACTCTTCTGATATCACACATCCTGTTCCTCGGTCTGGAGGCCTCGGTGGAGTCAGAAGGCCAATGGTGTCGGCGCGATAAGGACGTTTGCACAGGTCAAAAACTTGCGACTACAATCGGCATCAGCTCTTTGTTAAAGGAGGAGGAGAAAAGGTGAAGGAGGCGAAGTGAAGCCTTTCCATGGCTTAATATGAACTTCCAAAAACACAACATGCTTCCACTAACAAAACAACACAATCTGCACCAGATTGAATTAAAAAAGGATGTTCCCTACAGCGTAAATGCCCATACAGCTGTCTTTGTCTAGTTTGTTCTGGTTCATTGCATTAAAAAAAAAACAATTACTTCAATCTGAATTTAAAAAACTTTTTCATTTAAACACATTTTGTTTGTCCTATAAAAACATTATCCTTAAATGTGTTATTGATCAAGGGAGAATTTCCTGTTAATAGAATTTGAAATGTCTACTTCTACGGGTTTTCCATTTATAATCTGCTAATCTAAAGTCAAACCTGCGCTCTACTTTGGCCTCCACGTGGCCTCGCAGGAGCGGAGAATCTGTCTTACTCCGTAATGTATTCTGTCAAACTGGAAGGCTAACGCTAATGGCTAATAGAGCGTTTTACTTTCCCTGGCTCAGTTCATCAAGCTTCCAATCTAAACCCTCCGTCGAAGTTATGAGACCCCCCTCCATCCTCCCCCCCAAACCTACTGTGGCCTCAGCAGCTGCTCAGCTGCCTCCTTGAGTAATGAACGTTTATGGGAAACTAGTGCGTGTGTGTTTTAAGCCGGCGTGTGGATGTCTTTCTCTTTGAGTCTAGTCAGGCTTCTTATTGGGTTCATAATCGCCTCACGTCTCAGGTTTTCATACCAAAAGAAGAAAAGCTGCTAAAAGAATTGTTTTCTTTGAGTCCCGCCCAATGTATGACACGTTGTTGTGTTTGTGCTCTGCAGGGAATCAAGAAGCCTTTTACCGAGGTCATCAAGGCCAACATTGGCGACGCGCATGCTATGGGCCAGCAGCCAATCACTTTCTTCCGACAGGTCTGCCCCTAACCCGCACCCCTCCTCTCAATCATTTCTTCCCACTCAAAGTTGGTGTCCATATATTCCTTTGCTGTTTCTGTAATAATGTATGAAAGGTTTTCGCATAATGGCCTCTCCACCTTTTATCCTCACACCTCCTTTTTGTTTCAAGGTGTTGGCGCTGTGCTCCTACCCCGAGCTGCTGAACGACAGCACGTTCCCCGAGGATGCTAAGAGTAGGGCGCGCCGCATTCTTCAGTCCTGCGGAGGGAACAGTATGGGTGGGTTGGATTTTTGCATAACCTCAGATGCTAAATATCCCCTCACTCTGAATACAAGTCAATTTTTAAAACTCCTAAAATTGAATCGTCTTTTCTTTTGGTCTCCTTGTGAACGTCCCTCAGGCTCCTACAGTGCCAGTCAGGGCATAGACGCCGTGCGCCAGGACGTGGCCCGCTACATCGAGCGAAGAGATGGCGGCGGGCCCTGCGACCCAGACGACGTTTACCTCACCACGGGGGCCAGCGACGGCATCGTGGTACGAATGACACCTTCTTTTAAACTGACTGTGTCTCGTGTTACGAGATTAAGCCGATTGAAGCGGGTGACTTCGGAGTGAACCCTTCGTGTTCACTCTTTTTAAAAGGACACATCTCACTAGCAGGAAAACAAGCGCCTGTGAAATAAATAAAAAGACACTTTTCTATTCTTGTTGAGTATCCCAGCTAAACATCATCACACTGCAGACAAAACTACCGGCTATGATCCGTGACAACTTGCATGTAGGTAACTGTTGATGGAACATCTTTCTCCACGTCCTGCACTTGTAGACCATGCTGAAGCTGCTGGTGTGCGGCAAGGGTGCGACGCGCACGGGCGTCATGATCTCCATCCCCCAGTATCCGCTGTACTCTGCCGCTCTGGCCGAGCTGGACGCGGTTCAGATCAACTATTACCTCAACGAGGAGAAGTGCTGGAGTCTGGACATCAGTGAGCTGCAGCGGGCCCTCGATGAGGCCCGGCGCCACTGCAACCCTCGAGCCCTGTGCATCATCAACCCTGGAAACCCCACCGGTGAGGTTCCCACCCACCCCCGTTTTATGTCGGACCAAGTGACGAGATTGCTAGCGGTTGTCGGTATTTTCACATATTGGATCAGCTCGTTGAGATCTCCTTTTAGGAGATGGAACATAACAATTTTGAAGGACTGCGTATTTTGACCGCACAAGGAGAGTGAAAACATCAAATTAGGTTTCAGGTCCAGTCACAGTACGTGTTTGTGTATGTTTTCTGTATCGCGGCTTCGTTTGGGGCTGTACAGTAAGCAGCTTGAATCACAAGTCCACCAGGATGTTTCCTCTCTTGTTGCTCCATTGCCACACAGTTCATACACTGCTGCTAAAGGAGCCACTAGATGGCAGCAAATGGACATAACAGCTTGGCTAACCACCACTTCCAACCTTTCTCCCTAATAAGCCTCATTCTCATTCTCAGGTCAGGTCCAGAGCAGACAGTGCATTGAGGACGTAATCCGATTTGCAGCCCAGGAGCGTCTCTTCCTCATGGCTGATGAGGTACTGTCTCTTTGCGTCTCTTTTGACACCGCACCGCTTTTACTGTTTGGCGTGCCGCGTAACATTCGTCCTTCTCTCTTGCAGGTGTACCAGGATAATGTGTATGCCGACGGTTGCCGGTTCCACTCTTTTAAGAAGGTTCTGTTTGAAATGGGGCCAGAGTACTCGGACACGGTGGAGCTGGCTTTCTTTCCACTCCACCTCCAAATGTTACATGGGAGAGTAAGTCCTTTTAATCGGATGCCTGTGGATGAATCTGCCCTGACCTTGTTGATATTGACCAGCGGCTCTTTGTATTTTCTGTCTTGTTTGAGTTTCCTTTGTTTTGGTGTCACATGGTACGCTTTTCCTCTCCCTCCCAGGTGTGGCTTCCGTGGAGGCTACATGGAGATCATCAACATGGACGAGGAAGTGAGGGCCCAGCTGTCCAAGCTGGTGTCTGTCCGTCTGTGTCCCCCAGTTCCTGGACAGGCGCTCATGGACCTGGTGGTCAACCCCCCGCAGCCCGGCGAACCCTCACATGAGAAGTTTATCAAGGTACAGACTCGACATCCCACCAGCAGGACAAATGATTCAAAACGTAAATGCGGTGCAGCACGCTCACCTGAACATTGTCAATACTCGGACACGTGTCATTATACTGGATACTTTCCTAGCAACAAGCTCTCCGTACAACTGGGCTGTTTTCTCAGACTGGTTATGAGACAATGGAAACATCTGAAATACTATAGTCAAGTATCCTTTTTTTTAAAACTCAGACGGGTCAAGCAACAAAAATAATAATAATAATTTTCCATTAAATCCACTATTATCGTGTTTGATGCATCGTGAGGAAAACTCCACACAAAGCTGCTTTGATGTGTTTTTTTATATTGTAGCATACCTGACTTTTGAATAGCCCTCATTACTCCCTTTGTGTAAAATTTAATTTAGCTTTTAAAATATTCTGTTTCCTCTGTTGCCCTCATATCATCTCTGTTGCCCAGCAATATCTGGCACGGCTATTCTTCGGTCTCATGGAGCTCAAAGCAGTCTGGAGAAATTCAAGCCGAATAGCTTGTTAGAAAAAGGCCAGAGACGCACGAGGACGGCCATGGTTTCCCTTTCAGATTCTGGTAACATCTCTTTGGTTTCTTTTCTCTTCTCCCTCTTCTCTTCCTTCCATTGTCATTCCCCCCCAACCCCCCCCCCCCTTCATGCAGGAGCGCACGGCCACGATAAGTGCCTTAGCAGAGAAGGCCAAGCTTACAGAGCAGGTTCTCAATACTGTTCAAGGCATCAGCTGCAATCCGGTGCAGGGCGCCATGTACTCCTTCCCTCGCATCACCATCCCTGAAAAGGCCGTCAAAGAGGCCACGGTCAGTCCTGAATTATTCCCATAAACATTTCAACGATTCAAGTGTAGCTGTGTGGTCGTTTCAAGGCAATTACATTGATGAGGAGCAAATAGAGTCGAAGAATGTTTTTACTCAGAACTCTCTAACCTGTTAATCCTTGCAGAGGATGAGGTCAGACTAGAGCTCACCTACTTATTCCCAGCGGCTCTTTTACCACACAGTTGTAGCGCTGCTTTCTTTTTGCCTTCGCCTTCCTCGGAAACCGCAATTAAGGAGAGCGCTTCTTTGGCAGCGTTCAATATTACCATTGGCAGTATAAATAGAGATGCGGCCCATTGAGCTGGAGGTCAATGCGCTGCTACTTGTAAGGGCTGAGATACTTTAAAAGGGATTCAAAAAGGTTTCACAAAGGCTTCTCATCCAAAAGACTTTCATTTAATTTATTTTGTCCTCGAATTGGCATTCTGCTCCTTTTTAGTGTACCTAAACCTTCGGTTATCATTTTAGCTACAGGCAGAGAACGATTCTGAAGCGCACCTGTGCTACATAACCCACCCAAAAAATATGAACAGGAGGAAAATGTTGCCCTGAAACTGCAGAATACAATAAAAGATCATTTATCAACCATATTTATGTGCGCTTCTTATCCATACGTAAACAGTATGCACAGAAAGATGTTTTTGTGAGAATTTCATAGTACATAGTTAAACTGGTGGTTACTAAGATGTTTCTGCATTTGTTTGGTCTGATTCAGATTTTATTTTCTACTTAATTGAAAGTATTTTATCCTAAATTTAGGTTATGAATGAAAAATAATAATAAAGCTGCTGCTAGTGCTGCAAAAAAAGTACTTTTACGAGCGCTATGCTGTTAGTCGGTGTTAAGTTAAAAACTGCTGTACTGCCGTAGACGCAGCATCATTCTTTTCTTTTTTTAAGTCGCTAATGTTTGTGGCACCAGAATATGAAACCTCAGTTAAAGGTTGATTGTGTTTTCTATTCCTCTCTGGTAGGACAAAGGTCAGCAGCCCGACATGTTTTACTGCATGAAGATGCTGGAGGAGACGGGCATCTGCCTCGTGCCCGGAAGTGGCTTCGGCCAGCGGGATGGAACCTACCACTTCAGGTACGCGACACACAAATCCCGGCTGATCAGTAGACCCTTTAAAGCCTGCTTCTGATATCATGTTAATCTGACCGCAATTTACATTAAAAAAGGCATCACTTTACCAGTTTGAAGAAGCCCTCAATGTAGCACAATCGTAACTTTGAAACCTACTTGCTCTCGCTCTCCAGTTATTGAATTACCTTCTGGGTTGCTTCAGAAGTGATTCTTCCAAACCTGTTACTCTTTAACTCTTTTCCCCAGCGCGTCGTCTTTCGTTGCATCACTCGGTTACACAGTTGATGTTTGTCTTTCTTCTTTTTTCCTCTCAGAATGACCATCTTGCCGCCGAAAGACAAGCTGACGACCCTGCTGAACAAGGTCAAGGAGTTCCACCAGAAATTCCTGCAGCAGTATTCTTAAATTGCCATGTTCCTCCTACTTATGGAGAGGAACCCACCAATCAAAATGAAAGCAACTCAGCCAATCAGAATTGATCTGTCACTAATAAGTGCCTTTCCTGCGCCGGCTCCAGTGGTCTCTGTGATGACGCACTTCAGCCTGTACACATTCACAGACTGATTTCAAACCTGTTTCAGTAAACAAAACAAAGCGGGACACGAAGAAATGAAGTGAGAGACTTGTGTAAGGTTTGGATGTAGGTACTGTAGCTCTGTGCGTTGGTGTTTTGCCTTTATGAAAACCACGCTGAAACGAACGGGTACAATTGAGGGAAACGGTGACGCAGTTAAAACCTTTTAGTAGACGTACAACTGGTTGAAATATTACATTCCCGCCGGCAGTACTTGACTGGTTGAATGTGCAGAAAAGGTCTGTTTGCATGCTGATTTTAATAAAGGTAACAGGCCATCATGTCTCGTTATTTGAGAAAGAGCAGTCGGTTTAGAGTTTGTGTTGACAAATAGTTCATTTTCCTTTTGACTGAATGGGTTTGTGTTATTAAAGCAGTCTGGTTCATTTTGACCACTGGTCAAAGTTTTTAAGTTACAGTTCCTCATACTGTCATTAAATGAAAAAATTTGACTTGAGTTTTTTATTGTTGAAAAGAAAATGAAAACTCACACATTTATTAGTCCTTTTTCTTGTATTTTCTTACTGTGTTGAAGGCCAAAGGGAATATTTCCCTCAAAAGGTCAGGTTGAAATAAATGTTGGACTAATAGTTGACCGAAAGAAAGAAAGACAAGTAATGAAAATACTCATTACACACAAGGATTTTGCTGCTCCGTTCTTATTTTTACCAGGTAGGCTTCTGGGTAATTTCAGCCCACCTGGGACTGACGTGGCTTTGCAACTTTTGGTGTTTGTTTCAAGTAATTCACTCTGGCTGGAAACAATTGGTATCATATCCTCACAATAGACCCGGCCCAACATCAGCATTCATCTGGCGTCCGGCCTCTTCGGCTCGGTTCTGCTCCCAGAATGGCGCCCGGAGCAGAGGACGAAGGCTCGCTGCACTCGCACACTTTTAACGTGTGAGTCGAAAAAGGTTCCCAGTCGACAAAACTTCAAATGGAACTCTGAAGTCTGATTTCTGTCAAACCAACGTCACCAGCCCTTGAACCTCCGAATGAGGTGGAAAAGCCGTAGTAACGTTTCGCTGTCTCATCAGTACGGAGCTGGTGAGCTCTAATCCAGAACATATGTCGCCACTGTGTTTTTTTTGTTTTCCTCGGGCTAATGCCTGTCCGGAACAGCTAATCTAATTTGAGGATTAACTCTCATTAGGAAAGTCACGCTTGGCACAGTAGGCCTACAATGGAGATGCTTCTGAGATGTCCCACACATCTGGGAACTGCTGCAACTGTCACCTGGATACATCTCCATCAATCCGTCATCTATTTTATTGCCTAGTATGCAGTTTCATAGCTGGCTGGGATGATGGAGGTAGTGTAGCTTGTTGTGTGTGTGTGTGTGTGTGTGAGAGCGAAAGACTGTGTAGAAAGTGCGTTAAATCAAAGCGTGTAGTCTGAAGACGTTTTCTGCTCCCTTCTTCTCAGCCCCACGGTGGCTGTCAGCTTTAATTATCTTTGACAACGTCTCTCCCGAACACCTAATTATTCCGAGCCTTGTCTCTCCTGCAGCTCCTCGCCGCTCACACGCTCCAGTCCCCTTCGCCCCAAATTAATTGGCCGCGTTTGCCCCCCCCCACCCTCCTCCTCCCATCTCTCATCTCCTGCCATCTTTTGGGAATCAAAGGTCATCGTTATAGTCCGGGTGAGGATGTGGGGCGGCGGAGGGACGGTCGCGCCCGCCGGTAATGAGACCGAACCCGGTCTGAAGCCTCGGTGTCTTTTTCCTGATGAGGTTCAACGGGCGACCGGAGCGCTGGAGGGTCGATCGAAGGGTCGTTGTGTTCGTTGTTCGCTGTTTGTGTGAAGTGAGGACCGACCGGCTGCTTCGAGTCCCACAGAAGGGAATCGCTTTAGATGTTCAATAACTATCGTTCAGCGATGTTTTAGCATTCAAACTGATGACTAAAACTCATCACCTTTTCCCATAAATTCCCAAAACCCAAAATTCCCCAAAAAGAATTCCAAATGGCTCAAATGTAAAAGGCACATTCTTTGAAGTTATGTTTTTTATTTAAAACACATCGGCCTTTCTAGCCATGATATTGGTTTTGTTTATTTGTCATTTTTTGCGTGAATGGATTGGAGGGTTTATCATGTCAGGGGGGCTTATACAGAGCGTGTTGGGTCATATATGTCCATGATTTCAGATGTGTCTGAACACAACCGGGCTACAAAGAATATGAAATCATCCATGTCGGTTCCTTTCTCTGTTCTGCATGAATTTGGGACGCTTGAAGGTTTCAGGAGGAACCATCAGTGTCTCGGATCGAGAGCTGCGTTTGGATTCGTGAGGTTGAGCTAAACTCTTTATAATTACACATCTAACTAAATAAATAGCGGTGACATCGTCAACTTGCTGAAGAGAAACACCCGCCTTTTGACAGCTTTTGTTAGATAATAAGATTGATACCACTCTCACATTCGGGATATTGATTGAACATTAGTATGAGTAATGATTAAAAAAAAGACAACGTCCACAGAACTTTTAGAAAATAGTATGATTGTCAATAAAGCTTTTACACAACCAAATGGCTGTGTGACATCATTTAATATTATTATCATTATTTCCACTGCTGTTGTTATTACTATTATTATTCTGCTGTTATTCCTGTAATATTAATTTACTATGTTGAAGTTCTATGCTGTTCATTCTGCCCTCATGACATGGATTGCAAATATGTGAATTGAAACTTTGGGCTACAAGAATAAATGCAATTGAATTACTTTTTGGCCGTCAGCTGTTGCCAGGCAACCAGTAGAGATAGTTGAGGAAGTTGCTGCTAGTCTGGAAGATAATCACCCTAAAAAGGTAAACTGTCACCGTGAGTGGCGAACTTTAGATCCAGCAGACAGATGTGCGAGTGGTGATGACCTTTGACCCGTTTTGACAGACGGCGTCATAGTCCTCATTATCTTGTAATTTCCTTGGACTCTTTTGGAATGAACTCTTCGTTCTCTGCTCATCACTCCGCTGCATCTTTACAGCAGTCGCGCGCTAAAACGACGTCTCGTACCGGACTTTCGAGAAGTCGTTCACACTTTCACAAGACGCACTCGAGTCAAGTCAGTGCAGAAGGGCGGTTTCAGAAGATGAGAGCGAGGGAGTGATGATGCAGAGATTGGGTTATAAATCTTCTTCTGATCAGATTTCTCCGGCGCCCTCACACCTCAGTCTCTTTCTTGGGGTAATTAATCAATCCCAGACTGGAGGCATTGATCGGCCTCTCGCGGCCCTCAGTATGTTTACACTCCTCGATTGTGTTTGCCACTAAGCCCCTCGCTGCCACTCAATCTCATCGGCAGAAAATGTGACACTCGGCCCGCTGACGCCGCGAGCGAAACGGTGCATCGATTGACATCACGGTGAAAATCAATCTACTTATTTTTTTTTGGGATGCACGGGGGATTCGGTTTTGTTATAATCCTTTGTGTAATCCCACCTTCCAGGTTGCAATACATAAAAGTTTTACGGTGGAGCAGTGAGGACACGAATCCAGGGGCGAGTTTACCTTCAGAGATTATTGCACACACTGCCAGAAATCTGTTTATTTCAGCCAAATATATTTCAAAATATATTTTTAATCTATTTTCTCTCTGCTGGCATTTTGAGACCTCACTCATTGCTTTTATTCGTTTACTAATCAGATTTATGAGAATTATTTTAGGAATCCAAACAAGAACACAGAGAACTCACCTTCCCACACAGAAGAATAAAAAGACTCAAGGACACGCGCACAATTCCAAATAAGGGTTTTAGACCCTGAGAAGTCAATCTCAGGCCCCCGTGCCGCCATCAGCATTCAGATGCCGATGTTTTCAAAGCAAAGGCAGCCTTCTTGTTTGGCGCGCTTCTAATTACAATGGGAGAAAAATGATTTTGTTTATAGTGTTGCTGCGCACGTTGCCTCCCTGGATGGAAAAAAATATATATTACAGACCCGAGATATAATTCACAGTGTGGTGAAAATGAATAATATTAAAATATCAAGAGGCTTGCCAATAATCCAACAAAGCAATCGCCTTAATTTAACCTGAATGAAAAGCCCTGTTGTGACAACTCGAGTCCCTCCCTGCATGACTGTGATGGCCTCTCCATCTTAAATACAGCACAGGAGCAGCTTTGAGTGGGTGGTGTGGTAATGCATTCTGTTACCCCCCCCCCCCCTCCCCTGCTGAGCTGAACCGTTGAGCCCGGCCTATTCACCGGCTCCTCATATGGAAAAAGGAAAGATAAACACTCCGACTCTGAATGGTCAGAAGGTGTGAAAAGCACTGAGGGACACGCATCTTATCGCACACGCGCTGTTTTATCAGTTGAGTGTCTCTGGTCACATAATATTTGTGTTTGTGTTCTCGGTTACAGCCCATTCAGTTGCCCTTCCCATTCATCGCACACATTTTTTGACAAACCTGTCTGAGCTTTGATTGTCATGAACACAATCGGACCCTGCTTAGACACGCAGGTCCGGCTACACAAATGTTATACATATTTCATGCCGCATCACGCTTATCTGACAAAGGGAGTTTTTTTTTGTGAATTGAAATCCCGCCTCACATTTCATTACACGCCAAAAGTCTCCGGCCTACGGTCGGACGGGCTCCATGTTTTATTCATGGTCCTCTGAACATCTGCTTGTCCGGATGTCAAAAATCATCAGGCTCCCCGGGGAGTCCTGCCTGACTGCTTGTAAATGAACTCCGAAGTGGAGACTCAAAGCAACCTGTCAGGACTCTCCACCAACACCAGCCGAGGTGAGCCGAGCAACTACAAGATCTTCTGCTGGCAAAGAGCGGTGTGAGTCAACTTTGCACCCATTTTTAAAACAGAATTTTTTTTTTTTAAAAGAGCGCACTGATTAATTTGGTGCAATGCTGTGAAAAGCTTTCTGGTGCACAGCTTCTTGCACGGCTCCCCACAGCTTTCGGCGCATTTTGACACTGCTGTTCTCTCCGGCTCCTGGTCGGCACGTCTCCCTGAGTCACTGGAGGCTCGAGCCAAGTGCAGGAGAAGAGCCTGACCACTAACAAGTGCTCAGTGACTCACAGCCGCCACAGTATGTCCCGTCGTGTCTCACTGGGAGCATGCGTGCGTGTCTTTATGTGCCATATATTTCTATTTATCGCTTTACACCAATCCCACAGAAAATGTGTTGTCTATAAGGAATGATAATATTTCAAAATCACACGCGGTGGCCTCATAAACTGCTGTCAGCTGTGGCAAAAATCTGTGAATGGAACTAAACGAGAAGGAAGTGACACATTTATTTATTTTTTAAACTTGGATTTAGAGATTTTTCTCTGAGGCTTCCTTAATTATTAGTATCAATTGTTTTCTCTTCTTACAAACTTTCATTATATTCTTTTTTTTGATTTTTGCAATTCATCACATTCATTCCATCCGCAGGCTTCGGTTAACACTAGTTTCTATTTAGAAAAAACAGTAGATCGACTCTGACATCACCAGTCAAACTGTTGCCCATACGCTCGCCTTGTTGAATGAGCAATTAACTATTTTATGGCAAAATTCCACCTTCAACAGGAATAAGCGTTTCTAACTTGTCCTTTTTACGACAGATAGCAAAGGTTGTGATGTTTCATCAAAAATTACATTATTAGTTTAATTTAAATTTCAGTCAAAAGGAATACCACAAAATGTGATTTCTCTTAATTGATTATGTGGAACTTTTCTGTTCTTAAGCAAACATCTTATCCTCTCTTTGTCCTATAAGTTCCACCTATTTTTTGATTTAATTAGAGAAGTCACCTTGGTTTTGAATCATTTATCATTTGTCCTTGACATGAATGTAAATACGTATTTACATTTTAACCACTTCTTCTCATACAACTCATTTTTTGTTGATTTCTACCCCCCTTAACTCTCTGTCTCAATAAGAGTTTGGCAGTTTCTTGGGAGCACGATTCAGTTGCTTTTGTGACTTTCACAGAATCTCATTCTGGTTGCAATCAAAGCCTCGATGCTCCCAAACAAACAAGGCTATCTGTTTCCTTCCTCTCCATCTATCTCTCCACCTTGCGGCGACGTGCGTCCGACACGGAGTGACAGCCTCTGCATTCGTGAGCACATCATCATCTGCCCCCCCTCGCCAAGAATTAGCCCTTCATCGCTCAAGCGTACAAAGGCCACTTTGCGAAGGTTTTATGTGGACAGGACAATTTGTTTTAAATCTTTGAAAATCAACGGATTACTTCAGTCATTTTACAAGTAATTGAACATTCAGTTATGAAGTTGACAAAAACTATGACAGGATTAAGAAAAAAAAATGTTCAATGCCGTTTAACTTACCGCTCAATTAATTAAGTGATCTTACCCTATTTGCCATAGAAATGCCTCAGCATTTAATCATTTTATCGGTATTATTGTGCAAAGTGATCCTTCACTGCCAGCTTCCTAGTCACTCCCTCCCCTCTTGCAGTGGCTCTATAGATTTCTTTTTCCAAGTGATAAATTGGACACTAGGAGCCACTGAGGTGTGACCAGGTGGCAACAGAGTGCAGCCTTTTTTTTGTCCTTAATGGCCCTAATTAAGCTCTAAGACATTCAGACCTGTGTGGGTGAGTTCTAATAACATGTTTTGGGATGTAACACTACCGACATCAATATAGAAAAAGTAAAACCTCGTTGAGAAGGTGGGAAGTAGCTCCGTGACCCCACAAACAAATGCACAGAATAAATAAAGCAGTCACGTTTCGGAGATTTGAAGTTGCAACAGTGTTTGAATATGTTCCACCTCTCTCTCTCTCTGTCTGTCTGTCTCTCTCTCTTTTGATTGAAGAAGTGGAAGGATTCTACCCCATCCATCACCTCCACCCCTCCCCTCACTCTCCAAATCACAAGCGGGCGACGGTTCGTTTCCAGCCCATTCTCTCCCGTGGCAGCGTGTTGGGAAGAAACATTTAACGCAGATTTTATGTTTTTTTGCTCTCAGATGATACTTTGTTGTTGTTTTTGTTGTTGATCGAGCAGCGAGAAACTGGAGATGAATCAATCGGGCGGATGCGGCCAACGCGTAAAAGTTGTGGATGGTCACTTCTTCGCGTAAACATTTGAAGGATTATTTCATCTCCAAAAGTTGCGGCGCAAAACAAGAGCGGGTTAAATTCTTCCCTTTGCAACAATATCGCCCCGCAATCAGGCTGGAAGACCATCGGATCCGGAGAACACAGCGAATCCGCAGAGCGCAGATGATCGCAACTGGGGTTTGTGGTGTCGCGCTGGTGCTGGTGTTGGTGGTTCTGATCCCGGTTGTTGTGAACAGCGCCGGGAACCCTGCCCGCTACGAGATGCTCGGCTCCTGTCAAATGGTGTGCGACCCCCACGGCACCGCGACCACCGCCACGGCCACGGCCAAGGCATCCAACCCGGTCAAAGACAACCGCCTGGTTCAGTCTCTCCCAACCTTCATCCAGGGTCCCAAAGGAGAGCCGGGGCGCGTCGGCAGGATGGGTCAGAGGGGTCCGGTTGGCGAACCCGGGCCACCTGGACCCGCCGGTCCGCCCGGTGAGAGGGGGGCACCGGGTCCACCTGGATCCCCAGGCGCAAATGGGCCCAACGGTGCCATCAGCGCTGCCACTTACAACACCATCCCTCGCATCGCGTTCTACGCCGGACTGAAGAAGCAGCACGAGGGTTATGAGGTGCTGAAGTTCGACGACGTAGTCACGAATCTGGGCAACCACTATGACCCCTCTTCGGGAAAATTCACCTGCTCAATACCGGGGATCTACTTCTTTGTTTACCATGTGCTGATGCGGGGCGGAGATGGAACCAGCATGTGGGCCGACCTCTGCAAGAACAACCAGGTAGGACGCTTCCGGAGATGTTCACGCATCAATATTTGCATTTGTTTTGAGCTTTGCTCTTAAGTGTCATAATGACTACGCGTGAAAAGAGAACGCGCACCGATGAATAAACGCGTGTACCTGTCGCCAAGTTTTTACGCGCGGTTTCACCAGAAAACAATCCACTTCCCCGACAGTCAGCGGAGCTGTCCCGAGGGGGGGGGGGGGGGGGTGAGGCCAATTAAACCGCCTTCACCGTCGCAGCTGTCCGCGCCTCTGATTTTGAGAAGCAAGGCACGTTTCACGAGCAGACATGTCCGTTTTTTCCCCCCTTGCCTTCCAGGTGAGAGCCAGCGCCATCGCGCAGGACGCCGATCAGAACTACGACTACGCCAGCAACAGCGCGGTCCTGCACCTGGAGCCCGGGGACGAGATTTACATCAAGCTGGACGGCGGGAAGGCGCACGGGGGGAACAACAACAAGTACAGCACCTTCTCCGGCTTCATGCTGTACGCCGACTGAGACGCGGGAGGTCCGCCGTGCGTAAAACTCGCTCCACCGCTTTCCATGTCAGTCGGATTATTGGGGAGGAAGAGCTCACCATTTACATGTTGCAGAAGAGCTGAAAGGACCTCATGCGGGGGAAAAAAAAGAAACCCTCTACTTTACCAAAACTCGATAGTGAATGTTAAAAGTGAGAAATGTAACCTTGTCCGATTGATTAAACCGATTAGCTTTACTAATTATGTAAACATGTTCTGCTGTGGCAACATACCGTTTGTGGACTGAACGTTCAATGAATTCACCTCCAGCGCAAAAAGTATACTCACATAATCACCGCACAGAGTGTAGTTAGTCCACGTGTGCTTTATTTGCTGAAATACATTCGTTGCGTTTTGAGTGAAAAATGTTAAAAGTCGTAGTGATGCATGATTATGTAAAAACAACATTTCAAATGTAAAAACACTGTAAAGGGCCGTTCTGATGTCCATATTGAAGCACTGTCTAAACGTCATCATATATAACTATTGCCCCTGGTTGGGGGCAACAGGGTGGCGTCATCCACCAGAAATGTTCCCTTAATTGTGACTGATGATTGTCAAGCCTGTCATGCTGTGTGTAAAATACCACTGAAAAATAAATCCTCGGGCTCACTTTTGAATCCTCTCAGGAGATCGATCAAAGTTACGCAGTCCTTGGCGGAGGGCGGTCACGCGATCGGCGCGCCATCGATCGCGCGGTGGAGCCCGCCTGTGAGGCCACCTGTTCCCAGGTGAGAGGAGAACGTGTCCTTCACCCGGTCCGCCTCCCGTCGGCGGCTGGACACCCGCCGAGAGGGCGACAGGACGACTCATCCAACACGCAGCAGAGCGGCATACTGATGACTCGCACGCTCATCACCTCCATCCCATAAAGAGCAGGCCGCGACGAAAGGCAAAGCAACAACATAAAAAAAAAATGAAATAGCGCCGTATTTGCGAGTATCTGTTTTGAATTCCTTTACGAAGGCCGGAAAGGAAGGATTTTTATTTGTCATGAATGAGGACAAGTATCGCTGTATTATTTACTTACAAAGTGAATAATATAATCCCAAATATGAAATCTTTTAACTACCGAGGGCCTCTGTAAAAACGTAGATGCATCTATGTTCCATTAGGAAGACAAACATTGGCATTAAGGACAAATTAGTAGTTCAATGGTCCGAAAGCAAATTTCGAAATGACTTTGTCTGATTAATGCAACAAGCTTCAGGTGTTCAATTATCACCTGAAGATAAAATAATGGCAACATCAAAACGCCGTCCTCGGGTCGCTCTTTCTGCTTCATTTGAAGGTCAACCAGCGCTTGGGGTTGTCGATGAGGATCTGATCCACTTGCTGCTGCGAGATGCCCCTCATCAGCATCTTCGGCACGATGTTCCTCAGGATGTGCGAGTAGCCGTGGCCGCCGTACTTGGTGAGGCGGTTCTTGGTGTGGATGTCGTGCGCGACCAATACCTTGTCGCCGTAGCCCTCCTTCACCAGGAACGCCAAGCTGGGGCGGGGGGGAGCAAAATAAAAAAAGGGGCTTTAAACAGGGACAACCCGTGTGTGCCAGCTGTGGGGTAGAGGACACACTTTCAATACCAGTTTTCTTTCCTTTTTTTATGTACGCAGACTAAAATGTGGCCGTTCATTCATCACCGCTCCGTCCTCTCGAGTGGGAGATTAGTGCGTCGCGCTTTGATACCCGAAAAAGACCCCGACCAGGGTTCCTCACCACTTCACTCTCTGGCTGTCACTGGGCATGTCCACCTCCAGGTCGTACGGGTAGTTCAGCATCTCCGTTCCAAACAGATCGTACTCCAGGTAGCTCCCCAGCTTCGCAAACTCAAGCAGTTCCCCCTCATCAAATATGGTCCTTCAGGAAGAGAAGAAAGAGTTCATTTAGTGGAGTGAGATGTATGCGGCATTTCACAGATTGTCGTTAATCTCCATTTCACCTTTCCCCTGCTAACTTTAACAATTACGGATAATCTGAATACACGCTGATGCATTTCCTCAACTTGGCGGGAATTTAAAATAATGTTTTTTATTTAAATGCGAGCCTCCTTTTAGCTCTCCGTGCAGTCACTGACAACATGACTGTGTGTGGGAAAATGATGGATTGTAATTTGCCAGGGAAGAGCACGGGAAGCAGCGAAGCTCACGGTTACCCTTCGTTCCTCCCGATGTAACTGCGTCAGGGGACGTCGCTCACCTGTCCAGGTGCGACATGACCGTTTTGCCGATGTCACCACCTGCCTCCTGGAGAATCCGGACGACCTCGGCCGGAGCGCCGGGATTCCTTCCGGGGTGGATGATGACGGGGCAGCCGAGCTGAGCCTGAGCGTGGGCGGTGGCCCTCAGCACCTTGGTCTCGCTCTCCGTGATGGGCCAGCCGGTGCCGATCTCTCCGATCACGCCGCAGCGGATGTCCGTGCCGTCGGCGCCGTGAAGCACCTCGCCGACGATGACGTCCGTGAGCTGACGGGCAAGAAAATGAGCCGAAATCAGGATGTTCTTCCTGTCTCATGACCAGTACCGGGGCCCCGCACGGCGGACGCGGACCGCGGCTCACCTTCTCCACGCTCATCCTCTTGGTGGCCTCAGTGTGGGTGCAGTCCACGTAGTAGCCTGCCCCCGCCACGATGTGGACCCCGGTGTCCACGGCCAGCTGCTTGAGGGTGGGCAGGTCTCGGTCGATGCCCGTGGTGGTGTTCTCCACTACGGCGCCTCCGCCGGCCTTCCTGTAGGCCAGCAGCTCGTCCCGCACGGCGTCGGTCTCCTGCTGCAGCAGCAGGTTCTCGTGGCAGCTGTAGGGGTTCTGCCTCAGCCAGTGCATGTGCCGCATCTGGAACGGGTTCTCTGCAACCGCCTCGTCGCCCGCAGGAGGGGGGAAGTAGCAGCACTCAAAGGTCATGGTCAGGTGCTCGTGGGTCATGGTTCGGCCCAGCTGGCCCGGATCCACCAGACCCAGGACCGTCTGGACTTTCCCACTCAACTGTGACATGATTGGCGTTCAGGGGCTTCCAACAACCTTAAACACATATTTATAATTGATGTCAATGAGACACGTTTCGTCACTGATCTACAGAAGGTAGTGTGTTTGCATGAAACAACGCTTTGACTCATTGACCAGGGTGACGTCACGCTGCACGCAGACGACGCACCTTTGGACCGCAGACCCAGAGTCGCTGGCTAAAACTTCACGTGACTTCGTTCAAATCAACCGAATGTAACGTGCAGATAACTTAACCTTCACCGACTTGCTTCCTTAAATGTATCTGACGTGTTAAGAGAGAGACAGATAAATGGCTGACCTTGTTTCCGATCGCTTCTGTTCCCCCCGACAGGCAGCACAACTCGGCAAATCTTCCTGTTTACAGATTAGAGGAGAAGAAAAAAACTCAGCGAGAAGTGGGAAACATCGCGAGAGATCACGCGACTACAGTTCCGCCGGCCGGAGGAGCAAAATTCATTATGAGAATTGGGAGGCGCGGGGGTATCTATGCATGCATTTTTAAAAATGATCGTTTTAGCTGACACAAACTAGAATTGTCCAAAGATAAAATTCGATGCATATTATGGAAAACAACCTTCTTATTTAATTTGATGTAAATTAGTTTAATTCAACACACGACACTAATCCAAACAATTCGCAAATAAATAGCAGAAGAACACTCTTTTGTTAGTGGTAAAAAAGAAAAGAAAATGCCGCTAGTTCTTAGTAAAAGGGTTCTACAAGAAACCATAAAGTAAGGACTCTGTTGTAATTGATAAAAAGGTTGATATCTTTTGCTGTGCAGTTTCAGAGGTGCATTTTCTCTGCCTCCCAGATGAGAGCTAGTGGCAGTGAAATGTATTCTTGTCGGATTGATTAGTGTCACTATTGCACTCTGAGCGAACTTTTCAGCTTTACTTATTATTATTATGTAAACATGTTCTGCTGTGGCAACTGTAGGATATTAGAAATAAACTGACGACCCGGTTCATAAAATTTATAAAATGCATATAGTGCACACCAGAATACAGCCATGATTCTGAAACTGTGTAATCAATAAAGTAATGACAATATTGTAAAACCACTGTAATTCTGCAACTGTAATAGAATAATATCAATGTACAGTTATGATTGTATTTAATGTAATGTAATCAACTGGAATGCATGCATGTAATACTTGAACAACAACTGATATTGACTAAGGGCCATCCGAAATCCGAGTTACATTGAACTCACCAGAAGACCACTCCCAGAGGTGTGGACACTAACTTTCACACCTTTAAGCATTGTTATAAATACCTGTAGGAACCATTGTTCTGGAGTCCACTGCTGGAGGCGACAGACGGGAACTAGGGATGGTCAAAAGGACTGACCTGGGGCCTGTTGGCTGCTGAGACCAGCGGCTCCTCAGCTGAGATGTTCTTTTTACCACAACACCATCTCCTTTATTAAATACATTTGATTTAACCTTTTGATCTGCGATGACCTCTGTCCGTCCGGCGTTTCTTCATTTTTGAACACAACACAACATACTGACTGAATGTTTAATGAATTGACCGCCAGCTGTTTGATATGGAGGCAAAAAGTACACAGATTTTATGTGTCACGAATGAGACTAAAACAAGAATCCTAATCAGAGGCGCTGTGATCGTGAGGAGCTCCTCCCTATTATTTGCTTACAAAGTGGATAATATAATCCGAAATATAATAATTCAAGTTTTAAATACCAAGAGCCTCTTTAAAACCTCTTTCAGCTGGAGAAGACAACAGCCTTATGTTCCATTGGAAAGACAAAACTTGGCATTGAGGACAAATTAATGTAGTTCATTGGTCGGAAAGCAAATTTCTAAATGAGTTTGTCTGATTAATGCAACAAGCTTCAGGTGTTCAATTATCACCTGAAGATAAAATAATGGCAACATCAAAACGCCGTCCTCGGGTCGCTCTTTCTGCTTCATTTGAAGGTCAACCAGCGCTTGGGGTTGTCGATGAGGATCTGATCCACTTGCTGCTGCGAGATGCCCCTCATCAGCATCTTCGGCACGATGTTCCTCAGGATGTGCGAGTAGCCGTGGCCGCCGTACTTGGTGAGGCGGTTCTTGGTGTGGATGTCGTGTGCAACCAATACCTTGTCGCCGTAGCCCTCCTTCACCAGGAACGCCAAGCTGGGGGGGGGGGAGCAAAATAAAAAAAGGGGCTTTAAACAGGGACAACCCGTGTGCCAGCTGGCCTTCATAAGTCGTGAAACCTTTTTCACGTGATGAAGGAATGTGGTTGTTCATTCATCACTCCTCCGTCCACTGAAGTGGGAGTTTAGTGTCACAGTTTGTGAGGTCAACGCGCAAATAAAGTGTCATGTGAGGACGCACCAACAATACGTATGTAAATTACAAAAGACATCTGCGTTCCTCACCACTTCACTCTCTGGCTGTCACTGGGCATGTCCACCTCCGGGTCGAACGGGTAGTTCAGCATCTCCGTTCCAAACAGGTCGTACTCCAGGTAGCTCCCCAACTTCGCAAACTCAAGCAGTTCCCCCTCATCAAATATGGTCCTTCAGGAAGAGAAGAAAGAGTTCATTTACTGGAGTGTGATGTATTTGTATTGTATTTGTATCTATTTCACAGGAATGGATCTACCGGCTGCTTTTTTTATACATTATATATATATATGAACTAAAACGGTAGAAAATAGCTTGTGAATCAATATGATTAATAAAAAAATCACATTCTACATCCCCTTACATTCAAAAGTAATCTTTCTTACTGATCCCAGCAGTTTTCAGCAGCGGTGCTGAAGGAGGAGACATGACGGAAAGTCAGCATCTTGTGCAGTGGATTCTCTTAAAAAAGAGCGATGCTGGAGGACCAACGAGAGACCAGAGTTGCACCAACACAGCTTGTGCCCAAGAGATGAGCTGTGAGCTGTTTGGAGGGTTTTAATTTTAAAATTACCCCGCGTAAATTGGCGTTAGATCAGAAAACAATTTTTTGCAAAGTTGGTCGAGGCCTCTGGTGGCAACACTAGCAGCAACAACAGCTAACACGCTAACACGGTAACACGCTAACTCGCCGGTTAGTTGCCAGCGGTGAATCAGGTAGCCAGCGGCCCTTTTTGCCGTTAATAAATGAATGTGTTTACTTGAAAAAAACAGATGTTCACAGCTCGTTTTTAGCTGGCCAGCTGCGAGCGAACGGCTAACAACTTGCGCCTAAGTTGCTGGCTCACCGTCAATGACCTTGATATACCAGGATACCGTCAGAATCTTATAAAATAGCTGGTAATGAATTTGCGCCATACCCCACAGACCTAACACTGATGCATTCACACAATTTGGTGGGGAATTTAAATAAAGTTTTTGTTCATATACGGTTCCCCTCTACACCTACGAATGCAGCATCTGAGAAAATGACTGTACGAGGGACCAACTCAACCAACATGAAGCCAAATCCATGGCCAAATCCAAAGCCATGGGCCACATCTACCAGCTCTGACTGGTTCCCCTCACTAGTGAACAAGACAAGGTACTTGAACTCCTTCACTTGGGGTAAGGGCACATTTCCTACCCGGAGTCCTTCGGTTTCCTGCTGAGAACCATGGCCTCAGATTTAGAGGTGCTAATCCTCATCCCAACCGCCTCACGCTGGGCTGCGAACCGCTCCAGTGAGAGTTGGAGGTCACAGACAGAAGATGCCATCAGGACCACATAATCTCCAAAAAGCCACAATGAAATCCACAGCCCCCCAATCTATAGACCCTCCTCCCCCCAACCACGCCTCGATATCCGGTCCATGAAAACCACAAACAAGATTGGTGACAAGGCGCAGCCCTGGCGAAGGCCAACCCCCACCGGAAACGCCTACGACTTACTGCCGAGCACCCGAACACAGCTTCGCTTTGGACGTACAGGGATTGGATGGCCCCAAGCAAGGACCCCCTCACCCGCACTGCCGCAGCACCTCCCACATTATCTCTCGGGGGACCCGGTCAGGTCCACAAAACACATGCAGACTGGATGAGCATACTCCCAAACCCCCTCCATGATTCTTGAAAGAGTAAAGAGCTGTTCTGTCATTCCACGACCAGGACAAAAACCGCATTGTTACTCTTCAATCCTTGGTTTGACTGTCGGCCGAACCCTCCTTTCCAGCCCCTTGGAGTTTTGTTCAGTAATGGAAAATATAAATGCCTGGGCATTTGGGTCAGGAATTAGCGAGGCTCACGGGTAAGGTCGCCCTAAAGTTGATGTCCAACAGCCTTTTTACGCTAAAATAAAAAGTATTCTGATGGAACTGCATCTCACCTGTCCAGGTGCGACATGACCGTTTTGCCGATGTCACCACCTGCCTCCTGGAGAATCCGGACGACCTCGGCCGGAGCGCCGGGATTCCTTCCGGGATGGATGATGACGGGGCAGCCGAGCTGAGCCTGAGCGTGAGCGGTGGCCCTCAGCACCTTGGTCTCGCTCTCCGTGATGGGCCAGCCGGTGCCGATCTCTCCGATCACGCCGCAGCGGATGTCCGTGCCGTCGGCGCCATGAAGCACCTCGCCGACGATGACGTCTGTGAGCTGACGGGCAAAAAATTAGCTTTCCGTAATAACCATTAAACGACATTAGTGCATTCGAAATGTCTTTTTCGGCCTTTTTGGTTCCGTCTCTTCAACAGGCCTCGACGAACATGAACCGAGCACGTTAGGTTTGAGTGTTAATATCTAAACATCCGTGAAGATTATGTAAAAACTGTCAGAAAGCAGGATGTTCTTCCTGTCTCATGACCAGTACCAGGGCCCCGCACGCGGACCGCGGCTCACCTTCTCCACGCTCATCCTCTTGGTGGCCTCAGTGTGGGTGCAGTCCACGTAGTAGCCTGCCCCCGCCACGATGTGGACCCCGGTGTCCACGGCCAGCTGCTTGAGGGTGGGCAGGTCTCGGCCGATGCCCGTGGTGGTGTTCTCCACTACGGCGCCTCCGCCGGCCTTCCTGTAGGCCAGCAGCTCGTCCCGCACGGCGTCGGTCTCCTGCTGCAGCAGCAGGTTCTCGTGGCAGCTGTAGGGGTTCTGCCTCAGCCAGTGCATGTGCCGCATCTGGAACGGGTTCTCTGCAACCGCCTCGTCGCCCGCAGGAGGGGGGAAGTAGCAGCACTCACCGGTCACGGTCAGGTGCTCGTGGGTCATGGTTCGGCCCAGCTGGCCCGGATCCACCAGACCCAGGACCGTCTGGACTTTTCCACTCAACTGTGACATGATTGGCGTTCAGGGGCCCTAACCCTAACAACCTTAAACACATATTGATAATTGATGTCAATGAGACACGCTTCGTCACTGATCTACAGAAGGTAGTGTGTTTGCATGAAACAACGCTTTGACTCATTGACCTTTGGACCACAGACCCAGAGTCGCTGGCTAAAACCTCACGTGACCTCGTTCAAATCAACCGAAAACAACGCGCAGTGAACTTTACCTTCACCGACTTGCATTCTGAAATACAGATAAATGGCTGACCTTGTTTCCAATCGCTGCTGTCCGACAGCCAGCCGAACTCTGCAAATCTCTGTTTTCAGATTGGAGGAGCAAAAAAATAAAGAAAACAGTGAGAAGTGGGAAACATCGCGAGAGATCACAGGACTACAGTTCCGCCGGCCCTTAGGAGCAACATTGACTGTGGGAGTTAGGGAATAAAATTGGGGATAAAATTGGGGGCTTGTGACACTAAAGCCTTCCTATTTACTGTTAAGTAAATTACTTTATTTCCACACATTGCAACTAATGCAAACAATATGTGAATAAATAGCCCTTTTAGTTAGTGGGAACAAAAATTAAATGTCACTAGTTCATTATTAAAGAAACCATAAAGTAATCACCTTGTAAATGTTGAATTGTAATTAATTTATTAGTTTTTCAGAGGTCCGAGGTCAAGATTGAAACATTTCATCATTAATGACTTATAATTGGTCTAAAACATTAGTATATGATTCCGTTACCATTTCTAAAGCCAACATACACATATTCAATTCGGCCATAATATAACTGCAACCAGTTTGAAGCTGTAGTTTAGGTGCACATGGTGACGCATGATTTGAGGGACAGACTGTGACTCTCTTGTTTCTCGCTCCGCGCTCGGCAGATGGACCCAACGGCGACATCTGTTCTGCCGTTGCGTGGAGCTGCCCCCTGAACTGCCATCCACATGCGCAGGCCATTTTATGGCAGAACAACAACTCTGTGGATGAGACCAACAGCCGAAAAGTTCATGATCAACGGTGGTTGCGTTTTTAGGTTGGGCCCAAACGCAGTGGCCTCTCAGCCTATTTCTTCTCAAGTGGCTGCAACTAATGGAAGAAAAAACAAGGCGCAAAATGAATTTACCAACACAAAATCTACCACTTTATGGTAAACTAGCTGCTGGTGTGCCATCAAACTGCAGGGTACCTCATTAGTGACGACAGAACATCTCGTTCATTTGTATGGCTGACGTGCTTCAGACAAACGTGACCACGGGGAGTCATCGATGAGAAGGATGACTTAAATCCCCCTCCCACATGTGGGCCGACCTCCTGCGACACAGCTCAGACCTGGACACTGATGCATGGGACTCCTTACCATTAATCCCCACACATTTCAATTGTAAATGTATTGAAAGCTCGGCCTCTTTGCCCAAAAGGAACCACTGATCTTCCTCCACAAAGCATTTTCTTTGCATTTCTAAACGTTTGCATTTTTGCAAATATCTTTTTTTGCGAGAACATACTCCGTCAAGGCCGGCGATGTTTGGTAGACATGCAGCCTGGATGTCAGTGTGACTGCCGGAGAGGCCTGCGAGGAGCTGCTGGTTGGGCACAGCGTGGTTGTCTGGTGCCCTCTGTAGACGGAGACGAGGACACGCCGCTTCGATGTGGCAGTAGAACGTCAGCTCTTTCAAATGGTGGAGGAACTATTTGTACCTTAATTAAATGTCATGATAAACAACGTAAAAAAAAAGTCTGACTAACTTGGAACGTGGAATGAAAAGAAAATACTCAAGTAAAAGTACAGTTCTCAAGTAAATGTACTTGGTAAACTCCATGAATGGGAGCAAAAGACATCAGTGGACTGTGTTGTTCCGCTTGTTGTTCTGCTCTTTTATATATAATGTAAACGCCGGTCAGGCTGGTCCCAGCCTCACGCTTTGAGCATCATCAGGCTCGTCTGTTTCAAATTCGGTTTGTTTCGGTGATTTAATGAACCATGAGGACAATGGAGCCGCGGTGGATTGAAACTCCCACCTTTAATAACTGTAGCAGTTAAATGGAGCCGCATGATGTCGATGGAGAAAAAAAATTGGATTAAAGTTCTGCTTCAATCCCCGTTTGATACAGTTGAAGTTTGGGAGCTGTGGAGTTCTGAACCTCTGATCTACCCTCGCCCCATCTGAGACGAGACGCCCTAAAAAGTCGACTGGCCCTAACAGAGCGCGTCAAGTAACTCTCCTGTGACTACCACCTCGTTCACCCTGCGATTCAACTGATGAGCCGGGGAGGCCTTCATTAGCGCGCCGCACCTACCACATGCTGTTTACCGACCCCTCGACCTCACATTACGATCCCTGCAGGCCGCTTAATGACTCGTGTGTGTGTGTGTGTGTGTGTGTTTGCATGCGTAGACCATGCGGTCCGGGACTCTGATGGATTTCTCGCTCTCTAAACCCTTTTTCCACATTTCTTTGAAAAGTCCTCCCAGGTGTCTTGTGTGCAAACAAGGTTTATACTTCTGTAGTCAAGTAAAGCCATGATCATTTCCCCCTTAACCTAAATGCTGTGCTGCATTTGTGCTGGGATCGTTTGTGTTGTTTTGTGTCAGTTTACATCATCAACCACGCTTCACACTTTAACGGTGTTAAAGGGAAATAACGCTTCAGCCCAAAAAGTGTGGTCATTTTTAGCTGATCTTGATCTAATTAATGCCAAAGGTAATGCTATGATATTAAAAATGCATGCAAGGTAATTGTGCTAAAATGCCGTATTTGCAGTTTTATCCACACACCGTTGGGGCGATTACCATGTGGGTCTGGTGGTGCTGGTGGTGTTGTCGTTGTCAGCATTGAATGTTCCTATTGATTTTTGTGCTGATAGACGGAGACAGAGAAAGACAGAGAGAGACAGAGAGGCAGACCAATAAAGAAGGGTTCAAACACATTTACAGGCTTGGACAGGAAATTGCTTTGGGAAATGAAGTTATAACGTCATAAGATGTGATCATATATAGTGTGGGGTCGTCGTGGCGCAGGGGGTAGAGGGGATGCGCTGGGAACTGCAAGATTGGTGGTTCGAGTCCCTGCTGCCCCATGTCTCAAGTTGAAGTGTCCCTGAGCAAGACACCTGACCCCCAATTGCTCCCTGGGCAAAATGTAAAAAAGCCATGGGTTTACATTGTAATGTAAGTCACTTTGGATGACCTGTAATGTCTGCACGCCACCGATGCTCCTCCAGCTACCAGCACACGTCCCACATCAGTGCTCCTCCCCCGGTCACAGAGGTCCTACTCCCCCCCTCTGCAGCACAATTACAAATAACAGGGATACAGATTACCTACTTGTTAAATATACAGTCAAGTTGTATTTAGTGTCTATTATCAGGAGATTTTATCCGTTATGTCGAACATTTTCTTCAAATATTATACAGTGCAGTGAACTTTATTATGGGTTCCAGTTGACATTAACATCATGTCAACTATGTCATAAAACATTAACTGCTGAAAGGTAAGATAAAATATATTTTCTAAGAAGGGTAAAGGACGAGCATGTTTTTATTCAATCATTATTATTTTGAGTCATTTAAAAAAGTCCTTTTCAAGCAAACTAATTAGCGTCTCAATTTAAAATCACAGGTTTATTAGGAACAGAATATCTTTCATCAATCAACACATCATCTTGGGTTTTATAATAAACACGATGGGCTTTCAAAAATGTTAAACCATGTTAAACTATTTTGGACACTTGTACATTTTTAAATCAGGTTGCTGGGTGGGCCCTCAGCCATGCTGTCCCCGGTTGAAGTGTCATGCAAATCGCTTTTCCACGCGTCCACATGACCGGCCAGCGGTCTCCAAGTTGCTCCTTCTCACGCAGTCTCCTATAAAAACCCTTTCCTGCAGAACCAGCCACACACTCCTGTGAGAACTCTGAAAAACACTCATCATGGCTGTGAGGACTCTGGCGGTGGCCTGCGCTCTCTTTATGGGAATGTGCATCGTTGCAAATAGTGCACCAGCTGATATGACACACGCCTTCTGCAAGATCATCTGGTAAGACGTCCTGCAGTTATGATGAGTTAGATCTGTTTCTGGCAGCTGGTGTGAACGAAGGGGGATGTATGGTAACATGTAACGTAAGACAGCCCAAAAAGGTGCATGTGAATTGACCTTTTCTCCTCCCAGGTTGTTCGGACTGCAGTGTGATCAGGTCAACATGGCCATCGTGACGCAGATGAAAGCGATGGGCTCCTACAAGGTGAGGAACTTGAAGGGAATCTTTAATGGATTTTCATTTGGTGATTATTTCAAATTCGCCCCTTTTCCTTTTTCTGATGCAGCTGGGCCCCGTGACCGCGGCCTCAATCCAGGCCAACCACACCTCTGGAGTCGGCCAGATCGAGAGCGTGAACTTCAGCATGGTCTCCACAGCCATGAGCTTGGGCTGCCACGTAGAGGTGAGATGGAGGCCTTCCCATCCACCAAAATAATGCAAAATAAAGGGTTGTTTATAGATTTCATGTAAATTCCATTGCAAATTGTGGTGATGATGTTATTTTTTTGGGATGCTGTTCAGGGTTCATCTGTCTCTGCATTCTGGTTCAGCCTGCTGGACAACGGCACCAACTACTGTAACCTCCACAACGTCATACAAGGTGGGTGGTCTCCCCACGCCGACGAGGCACCTTAACGTGGACTTTATTTTTTAATCAATTAAATGGAATTGTATTTAAAATGTCCAGAATGATCTTCCACGAGGTTCTCTAAGCACATGTAACGGAGTGAAGTTAACCCTGTTTCTCCCTCCGTCGACGTCTTCCTGCGCAGGAAGTGGACTCACCAAAGCTCCGGGCTTCGTGGAGTTCACCAACGAGTGGCTCTGCCTGGGAGTCGGACTTTCTGCCTGCAAGTGATTTCCAGAATTCAGATGTGTGTTCGGTCATCGTTGGAGTTTCTGTTGTGTCTTACGGATAAGGAGAATGGATCTACACAATAAAAGCTGCATTTGTGTTTTTGCATCTTAAGTTCTGTAAATAAATCCTTTCTTCATTCAAGTTTGGACTAACGGTTGGTTTGTGTGATTTGAAGAGAACAGAAGAACAAAGTTACATTAAAAAAGTCAAAACAAATAGCGAGTTTAAAAATTTGCAGTATTTCTATTTGATTTTAATGAAGGAGTCAGATTTAAGTAAGGAGGGATTATTCACTCAAATGCACGATGCTTAACACATCTTTGTTCTTACACTAATTACAAATACATATAAATTATAGATATATTATAGATATTACAATGTGAAATACTGACATTGAACATGATTTACATTTTATTATTCTTGTTAATTTGAACAAAGGTGATTTTAGGTAATTCTAAATTAT